TTCGATTCTTATAGGGTTGAACTAGAATTTATTATATGTATGATATTTAATGATGTTAACAATAAATGAAAGATTTTTTCTCTTTTTTTAATTAGCATTATAAAAATAACAATGAACATAATTTAACGAGTTAATAATAACTAATTTATTATAAAAATGAACTTGCTAAATAAATGATAATGATTAAAAAAGAGATCGTTATTTAAAATACTATTGAGTTTTGAAACTATTTATAACATTAACTTAGAAACATAAAAAGTGATGAGTCTAACGAGTGGTTGCATTCTTGACGTATTTAAAACATCACACAACAACGGCGATATCTTTGTTCAAGTGAATGAAATTCACAGTGCAGTAGAATATGTCATTAGTGATGGAGAATATAAGTGTACCTCCCGATTTCCTAAAGGAACACAACTTATTGTCCATCAGCGAGTTTGTATAATGGACTGTGTTATTCCTTTAGACAAGAAGTATATTGAAGTCCGCATGTTCAATGCGGAAGAAGTACTTCCGGAATTGCTTGGAAACAATTTGGTCGATGTCAATGCGTATTTGGGAACACCAGGCCCAAGCCAAGCAATTGATGTGAAGTCGCAGACGGTTATCCCAACCGCACAAGGACAACTCCCAAAAACACAACTGAGCACAGACGACATCGACGAGAGTCGGTGCATCCCTTTTAACCAATTGAAGACGGCTCATAGCTGCAATTGCTTGGTCAAAGGCGTTGTTCTTCATAAAGACATCGTACACATGAAAAACAGTGGAAAGGCGTTGAACATAGTCTTACAAGACAGTGAAGGGTATGAACTCGCGTTTGTTGCGTACGACGCTGTCGCAGACAAGTTTTGTAATGGCATAAACATCAATGACACCATAGTCGTGAAGAATTGTAGTATCAGAGTCCTCAAAGACAACGAGATAAATAAGGCATCGATCAGGAGTGTCAGATTTAAAGCTTCCATCAGCAACAAAACAACAATCGCGAGTGCAAAAACACCAGTCATGTCATTGATCACACAGATTAACACGTTTGACGAGTTATTAATGATAAACCCAACCTTCAGCGACTTCCATTTTGTGTGCTACTTGAAAGGAAAAGGCAGCAAACAGTTCGTCAATGGCGAAGTGAGTAAACCAACGGTGACAATCGATGTCGTCGACGCAAGTAATTACTCCCTCAAAGTCGATATATTTACTGATCGATTAGTTGATACAATTGAAGACGTACACATTGGAGATATCGTACTTTTGAGTAAAGTGCAAATCATCAGAAAAGATGAAAACAATTTTGTTGGGAAGATGTCAGAGGCCTCTGAAATATACAAAGTCGACACTTTCGAGGCTATTGAGGACCTTATGGGGGAATTCAAGGGGGAGTACAAGAAAGAGGCGTACGACAAAGTTGTTGTTGTCCAAACAAACAAAGGAAATAATGTGGCAAAAGACCTTTCTTCCTCACGGAAGATCTTGTCTGCCGAGCCCATTTCTCTTCCAGTGTATTTAGAACGTGTGAAGAAATTGGCTCTTGGGTGTTCGACAACAGTTTTAATACGTGGAACATTCAAAGAAGTTAAAACTGATAATATGAGTTACACGGGGTGCCCAGACTGCAAAAAGAAAAAGGGGTTAGGCGTTTCTTTGTGTGTGAATTGTAAGAAGATGACGAGTTCCATTTACTTCTACGTAGTGATTGCGTCTCTGGAATATGAAGAGGGTGGCAAAGTGTTTGAGCACTGGGTGACGTTCTTCAGTAATGTTGGAGAACACCTCTTTAAGATGGCTGCATGTGAAATGGAGAAGAAAAATATATTAGAGAGAAAGGAAGTTGTCAACAGGACTGTAATAGGAAAGAATTTCAATTTGTGGGCGAAAGGAACACACAAAGAGAACAATGAAGTCAACACCATCATCACACAAGTGAACTGATAACTTGTTGTTTTTCACAAAGGTTGTCCAACAATAAAAACGTAAACCAAGTTACTCCGCATTCGCAGCCTGCTGCACTAAGTCCCAGTGATGAAGCATAATCTTCTGCACAGCATAAATGGCGTTTTTCTTTATCTCGGCGTTGTCTGAAGTCGTGAGTTGAAGCAAGTCCATCTTAACACCCAAATCGTTCATCACTTTTCTTCCCAAGGGGTGATATCGAGCAACCTCTCCCAAGTCAAAACAAGCAACTGAAACACACACCGGGTCTGCCGACTTGTCGTTAATCACGTTCTTCAATTTCCTCACCAACGCCCAGTTGTCTCCCTCAAACGCGGTGACATTCTCGACCCAAAATTGCTCCGATCGGTGCATTGGACTCCATCTCATAGTGTTTGACTTGAGTTCGTCCAAGTAGCACTGGATGCTGGTTGTTTCGGTCACTTTCTTCTCGATCACCTGTCCGATTTCTTCCAACAGATCTTTGATATCGGCGTCGGTGTATGTTCTTGTCTTCAAGACGGGAATAATTCTGTTGAAGTCGTGTTGGACCAACAGTCTGATGTACCAGTCGACTTGTAAAATGTTGTGAATGATCATCAAGACGATTCTCATCAGTTTTTCGACCTTAAACTTCAAAAAGATGTTTGTGAAAATGGAGATGAAATTTTCGGGGAATCCGTGTTCGACCAATTTTTCGTCAAAGGTCATTAACCACACGACGTGGAACATCCCGTAGACCAAATCATTGTCCGACGTTGCAACCAATTTATCGTATGAATCCGAAAGCACGCCGAGTGGAATTTCATTGGCAAACACTTCTCTATATGTCTGTTTGTTTAACAACACGAAGAGTGACCAATTGAATAAGTGGAGTAATTGGAATCCCTGTTTTGTCTGGTTGTTCTGGGTGTAAATGCCTCTGATGATTTGGAAGTAGTTCGACATGATTGGTGCGAAGTCTGCGAACGTTCCAGTAGTAGTCGCGAGTGTTGTGTAGACTGAAATCGCGCTTTCCAATATCGTCAGGTTGTCTGTCTTCATCAGTCGAATAAGCCGCGAGCACACCTCGACCGTCTTTTTGATTTCCATCTCAGCAAAGAGTGGAACTCTATTATTATCCGCCGCGATGAATTGTTGGAGTAACAGAGTTGTGTTTTCGATGACGGCGGGATGTTCCGAGTCGATCAATAACGTGTAGAATATACTGATCAATGTCTTTAAGTCCATCTCGTTCTTAATTTTGGCGCGCTCAACCTCGGCTTGACCAAGGTAACGAGTCAAAGTACTCTTATTGTCGTTCGAGAGGCTCGCGTTGTTGTTAATCGCGTTGTCCAACTCTTTTTGCTGGAAAACACTTGAGATTGGAGGAACGTTCAGTGCTGGTGTATGGAACATCGTTCTGTTTTTCTCAGTTGAATACTCCCATTTCTGTTTTTCTCTCTGTGATTTTTGTATCCTTTTTTATTATTGTTTTTTAATTGTTTTACTAGTAGTTATAGTTTCTCAAAAGTTACAATTCTACCAGAAATTTGAGATTCTGGTTGAAAACTATTGAGCCAATTCGTTTTAAAAATTCGAATTAGTTTTCACTATTAATAATTCCCCAAGAAGTAAATTAATAAATTATGTTAATAAAGTATTATAATCATAGTATTTTATTATATAATTTGAATAACTAAGAAAAAGAACCAAAAATCAAAAATGGTGGAACAAAAGAACATATAAGGGAAAAAAAGGACATTACACAAAGAAAGTTTGGACATCTTGGGTCTGCTCCTGCGGGATGCCGAAATCAAGAGGTTCGGTGCTGTTGAGTATGTAGTCGATGTCGTTCACGTCAAGGTCTCGTTCATCAAACAGGTCTACAGAGACGTGTTGCTCTTCCAAGTAGAAATTCTCTGGGTCGTTCTGATACTTCTCAAGAGAGCTCCTATAGAAGCTTAACTGATTTTTGAACCAGTCTTGAATATCACTGACGACATTTTCTTTCACGTGCTTCGGTGGGTTTGAAAGAAAGTAATTGTAAGACGAGTGATAAAAAGTGTAATCAATGAGTGCGTGTGCGTACAACAAAAAGAGTGTTGCGTCTTCTCGTTGGGAGAGCAATACACACCCGCCGATAATACTTTCAACTAAATCGCCTTTCTCTGAAATGTTATTATCTGTTGTTGACCACAAAAATGCAAACTCTTCTTTTCGAACGTCTTCGCATCGCCTAAATGAAGCGAGTCAAATATTTCACCAAGGGTCTGATTTTTGACGGTGTGTATCCGAAGTCCGCTGTACATTTCAAATGGTATTTGTTCGTACTTTCTCAAAAATTTTAAGACAAGAGAGGAAACCCGTTCTTCCAAATACGAGTCTCCGTAAAATTCATTTTTCTCATACTCTTGGTCTTGGCTGGAATAAGCTTGGTTGAGTTGCAACAACTCGAAGAGAGAATCTGTTTTCATTACGTTAAGAATTTTTGACAGCACATCGAACGCGGTGTACTGTATGGAGTGGTGCACAATTTGAGAAGTCATGAACCTTGGCTATCTTTTCTTTGTTTGCTCTTTTGAGTTTGAAACTCTCAATTATGAGTCTTATGCAAATAAGTGTTATTAAATAAATTTTTGTTATTTATTTACCATCTGTAGTTACTATTACTTATTTTTATTATCGAAGGACCTTTTCCAAAAACTAAACTTTTTCTTGTTTTTTATATAATAAAAATGATATTATTATTAATATAATAAAATAAGTGAACAAAAAGTAAGAAACAAATCTTCTAAAATACAAAAGATACTAAAATAAACTATTATAGATACCACTTATAATTACTTTTTGAGTAATTGCTTGCCGGCTTGACCATTCTTGAGTTGAGCAATGATTTGACTCATAGGATCTTCTCCAGTTCCGTGTAACATCTGTGCTCTATTTGTATCGGCTTCTTTTTGTTTTCTTGCCTGTCTCTCCTCCTGTTCTGCAGCGATAGTGAAGCCAATAATAAACTCTGCGAACACCCCAAAGAATGTAAGTGTCGAGTAAATATTTTCGGCATTGTCATCTCCAGTGAAGTAGTATAAAGTCTCTTTAAATAACGAGTGGACTTGGTTGCTTTTTGCGATATAACTTTTTGTCTTGTTCGTGCACATCTCGATCGACTTTTTAAAGCCATTAAGTTGTCCTCCAGAAGCTAAAGTGTCGGTGTATGTTTTATTCAAGTTGACAAGCTGCGCCTCGACTTGTCGCAATCCACCAGTGATTGTTGCCAAATCGCAATCGACATCACAACACACCTTTAACTCAGTTTCAAGGGCACTCACGTCGACAGACGTTGTGAAAAACTGTGCGTATGATTGCGTCTTTCCAATGTATTTTAACATGGGTAATATTTCGACTCCAAATCCATCAGCTCTTTCTAATGTGGAGCATCCACTATTCACAAAATTGCCAGTGTTGAGGATAACTGTTAGTACTCCTTTCAATGCAGAAGACTTCTTAAGTGCATTGCAAGCAACTTCGATTGTTCTGAGTGGTGTTAAGTACTCATCTAATTTAGTTAAGATGTCAGAGCACTGTTCTGCCATTCGAGCCTTTTGGATGACAAAAGGTTCTTTCAATATAGTGAGAGCGTATTGGTCTACACTGGTGTATTCTTTAATATCACCAATTTCATTCTCTAATTTAAACCCCTCTGAACGTTCTAATAATTTCATCAAAATTCGAACACTTTGATCGTCGACCTCTCGACTCTCGCCATTCAACATGTTAAGTAAATTACTAACTACAACTCGACTTTGTAACAACATGAAAGCATTTCTTATATATCCAGTCACTATCCTCTTTTTTCCACATGTTATGTCTTGCTTCTGTTCCATCATCAAAGCAGGTGGTGGCGGTAAATCACACGTAACAAGTCCCATCTTTGTTAAATTCTCTTCAAAGTCGACTTTCACTTGTTGTTTAGTTTCAATATCAACTATTTTCCCTTTCAAAAGTGTTCTTTCAAACTCAAAGGAGTCGATTGCCTTCTTCGATGATTTGATTTCGGCGATCATCACATCACGTGGTGGAAATTCAACGACTTCTTCAGTCTTCTTTCTAATCAATTCCGTTTGTCGTTCCAAATCTTTCTTTTGCTCTTCAAGAGTCTGAAGTTGTTGAGCTTTAGTAAGAGTCATTGAAACTATTTTGTCCTTTTGCTCGTTCAAGTCTTTTAAAACAGCTCGTTGCTTCTGAATGCTTTTCTCTATGGTGACCCGTTCAAGGTCAAGTTCCTCCCGTTTTGGTCGTAACAATTTGTAGTCATCCCACCCCTTTCGTGGTTGATTCAAGTCACTGAAAGTCCCCAAGTCACTTAAAATTTCGCGAAGAACTCGTTTCACGATATCTGAGTTGTTCAGTTTCAATTTATTCCCAACGTCTTGTTCTTTCATCAAAGCGATAATTTCAGTTTTCGATTTCCCATTCATCAAACTCTGTAGTAACAACAACGTGTTTTCGACAGTTTGCACGTCACCAGAACTCAGTAATTCTACTACATTAACAAACCGTTTTGTTTGCGTTCTTGATGAATACGCTTGCGCAGCAAGTTCAACAATGTCGGGACCACAAAATGTCGTAAGAACAAGGCAAATTTCAGCAGCTTGTCTCGCAACATTAACAGGAGTGTCTTTGGTCATCAGCTCGTAGAGTGTGTTCCCCGCTTCACCCCACCCAACTATTGTATTAAAACCGTATTCATCAGACATTAAAACACGTAAAGCAGTCAACGCGTAACTCTGAGTGTTTCCATCAGTCTTTTTTATAGAGTCGATGATCTTAGAGACACCATCATTTTCAATGAAGTGTTGAACGTACTCGTGCTCGAGCAATTTCTTCTTTAAATTGAACATCAATTGCTTGTGGAGAAACGTTCCTATTTGTTCCATAAGCGTTGCATCTCTCTTTGCAGACTCTTTCAAAGTTAATTTTAGAACTAAAGATTCCCCAGCACTATACTTTGGGATTTCATTCGTTTCAGTAAGTATGATATAATTTTCTTTGTCTGTGATATTCGCCTTCTGAAAAATGTCTCTTGGACAATCTTCCGACACAGGGACTTCGAAAATGTCCGCGGTATAGTCTTCATGAATGTACTCAACACGTAACATTCGTTATTCTTTTCAGTTCGTTTCTCGAACTCAAAATATTTACCCTTTGTAATAATCTTTTGACAATTTTGCCTTTGTATAACAAAAAAATATGACTGAAGTTGACAAAATAAGCATTACTATTGGTAATTTTCTTAAAATATCTTCAAAACAAAATGTCTTATTTGTAAATAGTCGCTTTTTAGACTTTATATAGATTCTTTTTGAAACGAAATTATTCGAGTAGTTATTTTATTATATAAAAAAAACATTTTAAAATAGTAAATTTAATTAATATTTATAAAAGTTTAAATGTTATTTAAAAAAAATTTTAAAATATTTCAGTAATTGTAAATAAAACTGTCCCAAGATTGAAGCAGCCAAAAACACCAACTTAAATTGAAACTATTATCATGGGCTTTTTGGTTAATGAAATTGAGTTAGGTTTTGAAAATGCACATGATAATAAAATATAATTGAGTTTATGACATTAACAGGTTAGATTTTTCCCTTGTGATTTTTTTATAAAGGAAAGGTATTAAAAAGTAAAATTTAGTTTGGTTTGAAAAATAAAAAGGAAAAAAACGGTTAAAGCTACAAGGCGGTTTTTTTGTCCGCCGAAAACTTAAAGAAAACAAATAACACTTAAGAATTAATTGGACTAAGATTTGTCAATACTCGATTTTTGGAAATCTTTTCGTAACTTTCTCTTTGTCTGGCTCACTCTTTTTGAGAAAACAGAACATCCGAGAGGAAATTTATCATATATAGAGTTTTTACACTTCAAACATATTGTCAGAGAGTGTCGAGAGCAGCAAGCTCTTTGACACAGAGAGCATTTCTTTTTAGTTCGTCTTTCTATTTTCTTTCCTGGCTTTTTTTGATGACATCGAACAGAACATGCTTCACAAACTTCATGTTCTTGGTTCACATTCACGGCTTGCGTGTGTGTGAGTTTTTCAGATAACTCGTTATTTACAGTTTCCAAGACCCAAACTACTCTCTCTTGTTCTGTCTTATTCATCATAGAAAAGGACTCAGTGATCCACTCTTCACACAAAGCCTTTCCCAAAGATCGTAAGAATTTTGCATGGTTTAATGGCTTATTGAAAGTGTGAGTGATAACAAATGTGTTTGTCATAGCAACAACCAATATGTTCTTGAATAATGCAAATGTACACCGTCTAGAACGGAAGGGAATATCACAATTTGCACACAGTAAATTAAATATGTCTACGGGGTACTTTAAATTGTTGTATACATCGTTCAGATTCGACTTCTTACCATTCTTTATCAAACCACAATCTTCAAGAAAAGTGCACACGATAGGAACCATCTTAGATTTTGAAGGAGAAAACTCATTTAAAAACACATTCCCGCATTTCCAAAAATGATTCGAATAAGGATTCATTTCTTATTCTTTTATTCTTTTTTCTTTTAATTCAGAAATTAAAGTTGTTTTATGTTTAGATGATTCTTCTTTGGAAAAATCGGAAATTTGAGGGTTTTTCTTGGTTTCATACTTATCATGTTTTTTGATAATTTTCAATTCTTTTTCTAGTCGAGAAAGTTCGATTTCATGTTTAGTTTGAGCTGCTTTATCTTCATTTGGCAAAAATTTACTTTTCCTTAATGTCTCGATAATTTCAATGTTTTTATTCTTCCAAATTTCCAAATTTGATAATTCCACAAATCTTGAATCCATTTGAATTTTGTAATTTGACTGTCCACTCTCTCTGTTTATAGAATTAATCAGTTTATCTGCCAATTGCCTCCCGATATGACCATTTTCATTCACACACCCTTTATAGAATTGGAACATGTCGACACAAAGTCCACTTTTTGTATCAACCAATAAAATATATTCGAAGCCTCTTTTTATAGGCTTCATTGGATTATATATTTTATCCTCTGCCTTACCCCAAAATTTAAACATTCTCTCGTCTATGCAAAGTAATTCTCCAGGAAAAGAAATTTTTTGCATTTTTTCTTGTAAAATTTTTGTGATTTCGTAAATACCAACTTGATGAATTCCATTTTTACGTAATTCCTCTCTCTTTGTTTTATCATCACAGCGAAAATAACGACATAATTCGTTAAAACGAGTAACACCGAACAAATTTGCACAAATGGGACCCCAATTTCCGGGTCATAAATATCTTTCGTGGAAAGTTGCCATTTCATTCCAGCGAGGTAAATAAGTGTACCCAAAAATACCAAAACTTCGGTGTTGGTGACTTTTTTAAAAATATTTATGCTATTTTTATCTTCGTTTGCCTTTTGGTTTATTCCATTTACGATAAAATTAACAATTTTATCGCAAAAATAATACAAAAATATTGATTTGGGATTATTCAAAATATTTTCATCTAGCGTAAATTTTATTTCGCGGCTTTCTTTTTTAATATCTACAATTGTTGGAATGATTTCAGGGATAATGGGACTTTCAACCCACACCATTTTTCTTTATCTGGAACATTTGCTGATAAAGGTTTAAAGTTGGTTTTATTCAAAAAGGGTTCCGCTTCAGTTTGAATTTGTTGCAAATGCTTTTCATTGTATTTGTTATCTTGTGAAAATTCCGATGTGTTACACATTTGTTGAGTATTCACAATGACATCATTTTCAAAATCGTAAATCAAACCTTTAATCATTTCATTTTCATCATCCGAAATTATTTCATTTTCAAATTGGTCATCAACTTTTGTATCCATGTTATACTTTTATCTAAAAAATAAAAATTCGATTTTTAAATTTTAAAAATAAAAAAAATAAAATAATTTTTAAATAAACAAATATTGTTAAATGGTTAATGATAAACGGATAAAAAACCTTCTTATAATTTTAACATGTTAATAAAAATCTGGAAACATTATTTATTCCAAAAACCTTATTTTTTGACAAAAATACCTTTTTTTTGTTATTTGGTTTGGTTTTTCAAAATTATTTTTTGTTTGAAATCTTGGTTTTTTCAATCAAAACTTAGACAAATTGACCAATTTGATTTTTTACACACAAACGTTGTAACAACAGAGAACGGTGCTGTTGTTTAAAACAACGGTTAGGCAAACATTTTGTTGTTTAAAAAGATATATACAACAAGATAATTCGACAACAAACAACTTGGATTTCATCTTATAAAAATAAAAACAACGAAACAAATCATACTCAAAAAGAACACCACGCTTGGCAGACTCAAATATAGATTGTAGTTCTGCAGTCGAGTAATAGTTATTCGTAAGAAATGTTGTTTGGACGTCAGTTTGCTCTTCGAACGAGTGTCTTAAAAAAGTTGAAAAAATATTCACGACAAAAAGCAAAATTCTTCAAGAAAATGATCCAATAAACTCGGTTTGTTTACGGTATTTTCCTGTTATTTTAGGTAAACAACAACATTAATAATACCATATATTGACAAACAAAAAAATGACTTTAACCCCATTTATGTTATTGGTTGTGTTATTGGAAAATAGTTTGAATAATAGTAATATTTATTAACCATCCCTAATTTGAATTTTTTCGTCAACAAAGAAAATATTTTGTTTGGAAAAGTCAACTAAATTAAATAAATATTGTCAAGTGAGTTTGAATCGTTGACAAAAATCGTTGATATGTTAAATAATGCATTGGCAAATAGGTATATAACTATTCAACACAACAATTTTTTTTATTCGAATACATCAACGATCACTCAGACAACCCGCGGTGGTTTTTTTAGTTTGGTTTAAGTACAAACATTATAACCTTATATCTATGACTTATTCACAAACAATAACGCCACAATATGACAACACATCAGTTTGTGAACAAGTCGAAAGCGTTTATTAACACTTAAAAGGTATACAAAATGCGTTTTTGGGAAATGATGTTTAAGAATAACAAGACTATTCAAAAATATAACGTTTTATAAAAAGTTAAATAAAATAGTGAAAAACCCATAAAATTAAACTAGTCTTAGCTAAAAAAAAATGAATGACGGTTAAAGTCAGAATGAACACTTTTTTGTCTGCCCGATTATACACGTCCAAATAATGCTAAATTTATATGCATTTGTTGCGTTCTTTCCTTTAAGTTCTTATCTCCACAAATCGTTAGACCCATAATTGTGCGACTTGTTAAGTCCTTGAAGTCGTGTTAAACTGAGGCTCTTTTACCATAGTTGTTAAATCATACTACTATAGTATCATATCACATCATATCAATAACACAATTCATAGACTGTAATTTGTTCTTTGTTTCGTTTCGAACTCGGGTTCTTCTTTTATTCTACCCAAGACTGCGTCCAGATCAATACGATCCAACATAACTTTGATTATGTCATCAAGCTGTATAACGGCATTTGTAGCATCAGAGAGTCTATCCATGTTGTCGTGGACTTTGTTTATTTTTCATTTATTTTGAGGTTTTCATCTAATCGGTTGGAATTAAATTTTTTCTCGAACCACTTCACTCAAGCAATTTGTCACAAGTTTTAAATATGTAGCTTTTTGTTCAACAAAAATATATTTTTACAATCACAAGAAGTTATTGTAAAAAGTTCCATTTTTAGTATAAGTGATATAACTTGTCACATTCTTTCTATTTTAAACAGTTGACCGAAGAGTAACAACATGAATTAATGTTGTAGGATCATTTGCTGCATCTGGTATCGTTGCTCATATTATTGAAAATACAAAGAACCACGAAATACAATTGTTTGTGTGAGAGATTGTACCAAAGTCTTCAATAACCATAGGTTGTAAATTTAAGATATTAAATAAAAATTACATAAAAGATTCAAAAACCAAAAAATATACAAATAGAGAAGAATGTTACAAACTTTTAATTTCAAACAATTTATGAATGATGATACATTCCTCAATATGATAAACACGTTGTACGTTTTACCTTTTTTTCAAACCAAATGAAATATTAAGTTTTTATAAAATAATTGTTAAAGAGTTTGTAAATAAAATAAATACACCTTGCAACAATTTTTTGACTATTTTGAACACACTTGGATTCGTGGTTATCCAATAACAATGTGGTGCCAATATAATCAAAACAACAATCAAACAACATTGCTGAATCGTATCATTCCATTTTATGAAAAGGCTTTTCAAATCGCATCCAATTGAATACGAATGGATACATATTGTATCTTATACGTAAAAAGAAGATATAAAATGGTTTAACAAATGTTACAAGGAAAATTCAGAAGAATAATACCAAAGTACATTCAACAAAACAAATTGATTGTAAACGTCACAAGAATGTATTACAATAAAATGATAACAAGTATTTCATTCAAAAGCTTATTGATATTAAGAAAATTGTTGTTCATTTTACACAATTTGAAATAAATAAAAACGAATATAATTTAAATTATCCCGTGATTGAAGAAATTAATCTTAAATTAATTCCAATTGATGAAAACGACGAAGAAATAATCAAAGTCGAAAATATTCGAAATGTTTTTACATTCGAGAAAGAAATAGTTAAAACTATTAAAACCAAAAGAAAAGAAACAAGAGAGAAGAAACAAGACAACAAAGCAAATAAATGTCAAGAAAATTATCAAGTTTTTAAATTAAACAATTTCCACATAAAATTATTTGAATTGTTTTATTGTTTTTTATTTATCTTTGTTTTGATTTTTTGTGTAAATTTAAACTTAAAAGTTGTTGTTTGAATAATTTATATGTTCAAACAAAAGGATTTTATTTATTTAGATAAAAAATATCACAAAAACACTTATGACAAATTATATTTTTCAAAATATAATTTATAAAACAACAATTGTTTAAAATAACAATAAAAATGTTTGAACCGTTTAAATCACATAATTGTGTAGCATAATTAAAATTTATCAAGAAGATGGTTTGTAGCAAAAAAATATTATTACAATAAGTGATTTGAAAAATTGGCAGTATGAGTTTTCACCCCATCAAGAAAACCATGGAATATCAAATAGTTTGTTTGCCAAGATTTTGTTTTTCAAAAAAAAACTTTGAAAATTCGCTCTTTCTGTTTGTTTAAATTATTTCCTGTTATTTTGTTCAAATCTATTATTTAATCAATGGTATTTATTTAGTTTATATGTTCAAAAATAATGGTCAAATGGTCTAAACATTATTTATGTTGTCTGTTCTGTTATTTGTCATTTAGTTATAGAATGCTTTGTATTTTTGTATTGATTTTTGTATTTTTTTTACAAAATATCAGAATATTTTTATCTTATTACAAAAAAATAAATAATGTTTCCAGACTGACTTGAACTTTAGAAAGTCACTCGTTTTTGTAGTTTTTTTGCTTAAAGAATAAACTAAATATTATCAATCCAAATCCATTTGTAAATAAATTACAATAAATTCAAATTATCATTTTAAGGCATTCACCACATGACCAAGTGGGCAATGCTGCACCACAAATGTTAAAACAAACTGTTGTTTTTCTTTGTTTGCAATCGTTTTCAATATACAGTTTTTCTATTTTTTTATGTACTCGTTTTATCGATGTTTCATGTGAATATCAAAGCATACATTTCAATGCTTTTATTTTCATTGTTTAAAAAAGTCTTTATTGTATCATAATATTTGAAATAAAAAACGAGGATGATGGAAAATAAAAATTATGTATTAAAGTTTTTGTATTGTTTATATACATTGATTTCACCCATAAAACAAAGACGTTTTAATACAAATATTCAAAATATAATAAAAGTAAGAAAAAATCAATAATCTTGAAGTTTTACAATATGAATAAGACGAACATATCTTGTCAACTGTACTGACTTTACCGTTTAAATAGTTATATTTTACAACAGTCTCTATTGTACCATCTTCTTATTCAAGTTTTGTTTTTTGAATTATTTGTTGTTTTGTTTCAGTCTTCTTGTATCCCAACCTTGACCACTTCAAGCTAATATGTTTGTACGAAGTTGTTTTTAAATTGTTTTATTCTGTGATTTTTTGACACAATTGACGCCTTATTTGTCTAACTATACCTATCTAATCAAACTGTTTTTCTTCACACTCTTTGAGTAAATCAATAGTTCCAAAAAGTTGTCACAACAAAACATATGTCATTGTCCAAACAATCGATTAAATGTAAACATCATTATGTTCCTTGTTGGGTTAACTTTGGATTTTTCTTTTTTATTTTTGATATAGAATTTAGTTCCAGTAAATTATGTTTTTTACTGTAAGTAACAGTGGTATTATTTGTGTTAGAAAACGTGTTAATTACTTGTTGTGTTTTGGATTGAATTCTCCTTCATAATACAACTTTATCTCAGAAACAATTCAAGATTCACAACAGTATAAGTTTCAATCTATACATCTCTGGATTTTCTGGCATGTATACTCTAAAAGAAATTCTTCCATGTAAAGCCACATCATTTCATCTATTACCACAATTTTACCCTGAAAATATACATTCTAAAAAAAATTAATTAAATATGTCGTATAATTCGGCTACAGATTATTCTTTCTGAAGAGAAGTACATAGTTTTTGATATCTATCAAGTTTGTTGTTAAAATGAATATCATATAACAGACAATTTAGATGATATAACATGAATATGGCAAAGTAAAAAGGAGAAACACCTTTTGAATACAATTTTTAATTATTTTAATTCTAATTTTAATTGTCATAATTACAATCTTTATGTTGCCACTCTAATAAAAGCTTTTATATAGTTGACATATATAGGATACCATTTTCTAGCTCTTTTCTGATCAACACGTTAATTGACGTTTTCAGTGATTAACTCGAAACATTCATCATTAAAAAAAAGCAGTCAAGTTCTGTATTTAATATTGTTGTCGATTTTATGTTGCAATTTTATCATATAAAAAAATACAAAACCATCATCATTTGCTGTAAATTAACATTTTCCAACACATTTGACAACTTCGATTAATTAAATTTTTATATTTATCAATAACTTTATTATTATCATTTTCCTCATTATATTCGTCACTCGAATCATTGTCACCATCATAACTATCTGACTCCTTAACTATATTTTTTTGTTTTTTTATTTGTTTTTTTGTTTTGTAATTTTGTTTATAAACTATTATTTCTTTTTTATTATAATTACACCTCTTTTTTAGTAATAGTTTTTTGAATTATATTAATAGTAAAATAATATTATTATTACTATAAAATATTTAACAATTATGTTCTTGAGTTGTTTTTTAAAAGATGTTTAATTTTTACATTTTTAAATAAAAAGCACATTTACAATATTTATAAAAAAAATCATTTATTTTTGTTTAATGTATAAAAACTGTTATTCTGGTCAACAAATGGCAATTCGACCTTTTTTGTCTTTTTTTTACTACATTATAATTGCAAAATATTAGTTGTTATCCATAACTGCAATTGTAATGATTAGTTATTTAAGTTAACTTATATTTGAATAGAAACATACTATTAGATTGTACGGTAATATTGAATATTTTGTACATAATAGTATTTTTAGAAAAAAAAAACTGTAAAAAAAAGTCCGAAAGTCACGAATGAATTTTCTTCTAAAAGTACTTCACAAAATTCTTATTTTTACTTCCAAAATTTGACAAAATTGCCTAAAAATTCCACACAATTGGCTGAAATATTCCACTGATCCATATTGGCGTGATAACCCCACGGCGTTTACCAGAGGCCTTTAAAAAAGGTGGTAGTTTATTTAATGACGTGATCATCCTCTTATAATCACATATTCATGATGACTGAGTGCAAACCACAGACAATTTCTTGTGAAGTTGTTCGACCGATTGCATGCAAAAAGATCAAAATGAGTTTCCTCTCTTCAAGCACTTCTTCGGCAAGCAATTCAAGTTACTCCTTCTCTGACAACTTGGTGAAATTTTCTCAACACCTGAATCTGTTCAGACCAAAAGAACCAATTCCTTCAAATGCTGACAGTGATAAGGAAGAGTCTGAAGAAATGAATTCTTTGGAAACAATCAACGAGTCTGAATTTCAATACTCTTTTTGAGTATTGGAAATGCTTGTGGAGTGCTTTTTTCTATTAAAACTGCACTTTTGTTATATTATTGAATTGTTTTAACTCAAGTCCTTGTTTTGATCAAAAACCTGTAATATAACTAATAAAATAATTAATATACCATATAATATACCATGTCAATTGTTTTATTTATCATAATCATCATTATATAATACCAATCTTTATGGGGAAAATGAAGCTTAATAACAACATGATATTTATTTTAAAAATTATAAAAGAAACTATATAGTTTTAAACAAAAAAACTGATAAGAACTAATTACAGTCAGATGGACAAAACACGAGTGTGTCCTGTATGTGGATCAAACGAAATTTTTCACGATGTAACTACACGGGTGGTATGTCGTCGTTGTGGTACAATTTTAACACGTGAATCTTACATGCAAGAGTTTGACGAACTTAATAAGGGAGTAGTTCGAGGAGTTGTTCGTCGTAAAGAGAATTACTTCACGGACGCATTTTCCAAATATCAAGACCAAATCAACGCACTCAAAAAGAATAACCAACACGATACTTTCTTTGGCATAGTGGAAGAGATGTCACATTTATTTGCAGTGTTTCTTTGCCCACGGTATAACGCAGACACGAATAAGGTCATCGAAACCATCAGTGGCTATTTCAAAAAGGTCAAAGAAACAACAGAAGACATTGAATCCAATTTTTCGGAACAGCTCCGTCTTGTGAGTACGATGAACAAAGGGTTCGCTAAAGTCAAAAATAGGGTTATTTATCAAATGAAGAAAAGTAAAGGGATAGCAAACAAAGAGGATGAAAAGAATGCAGAAGAATCGAGTTCAGAGAGTTTTAGTAGTTATTCAAGTAACAGTAATGATGAGGATAGTAGTTTCACAACTTCAAGTGTTTCCAATTTCACAGAGAGTGACAATGATACCGAATCCAGTGAACCCGTCACAAAGAAGAAGACTAAAAAAGCGAAGACGACGAAAAAGACGACGAAAAAATCCACAAAAAAGTCGACCAAAAAAACAACCAAAAAAGCCACAAAAAAGGATGAACAATCTGAAACAGAAACAAAGAGCGAAGCAAACGACAAACCGTTCTTTGCAAAGGAAATGGAAGAGTTTAAGAAAGCGCAAGACAACTTTGACGTCGAAGAGGTCAGTACACAATTTGAGCAATTCAAGAATGGTGTAGTGAAGTTAGTAGAAAACAAAATGAATGATAACATGTTAGTCACCGAAGATATGAATTTTTCGAAGAAAATGGTCAATACTAGTACGGTAAGTAAAGGGAGATGTTTTGGGGTCGTTGGACTTGGTAAGATCGAAAAGACTGGAAACCCTAAAGAAGATTTACAAGAAATTGTCACACGAATCACTATTATGCAACGTACTAAAAACGTCTCGTCGATGCCAGTGACTTTTTTACATATGGCGTTATTGGAGAATGGAGTGAAAGTCCTTCCCCGAGTGCTTTTGAAGGATTTTGCTGAATTAGGGTTTCCGTTTTTTGGGTATGAGGAAATTGTGAAGTCGTTACGCGAGAAGCACGACGGTGGGATTTTCACGTTCAAAAATTTGGTTGAATTTGTCAACCCGATGTTCATTGAAGAAGAAGAGCCATACTATAAAACCCTTTTGTCCATTGACTTAACTAATTTGACGGTGGCGGATAGGATATCATTAACTGTGCAAGCTCTCTATTTGCCCAAAGAGATTGGGGAGAAAGCGTTGGCGATGTATCAGTACATTGTACATAGTTGCGAAATTTCAAGTACGACCGAATACATGATATTTGCATGTGTATTTGAGGCGTTACGGTTCACGACGAGAGGATGGGAGACGATGGACCCGAATTATTTCTTGTTCAAGTACATAGAGAAGTATGGAAGAGTCGTTTCTGCTGTTCAGAATATCAACGTGCCGGATGTGAGTGTTGTGATACGAACTGAACGAGTGAAACAAATTGGAAATGCCATGGAGAACATTTCTATTGTTCAAAAGACGGAATTGAAAGAAAAGGTAGCGAAGAAGATGACAAAAGTGATGCGAGCGACTGAGAATTGGAAGAGGAGAGTGAGTGGGAAAGAAGAGATATTGTTTGGTGATGAAGATGAACGTGCTGAGACACTGATTGGTTCGAACACTACAACAGTCAATGGCAGTGACACTGATTCGTTCAAGAACACTGAGAACAAAGACGCGAAAATAGAAGAATTAAAGAAGGAATATGGTTTTATTGTCGAAGATATAGACAGCAAGACTATTGGTCCAATGATGTGTGAGAGTGTATCTATCGAAGATGAACAAAAAGAAAAGGAACGTGTGACGAATATGATGTGTGAGTGGATTTCAAGTGACAAGAAAAGCGAATTTAAGGCGGTGAAAAAGTTTGCCAAACCGGTTCAGTCTCCAACAAAAGAAAAAGAAGACTCTCTTGATTCAGAAATCGACCAAATGCTCATCACTCCCCATTTCGATTCAAAAGTGACACAACTCACAGTGAAGTTACAAGAGACGTATCGATTCACTAAAGAATTTACAGATCAAATCACTGCCAACCAGTTCAAAGAAATTACAACGGAGTTTGGTGTTATAACAGTGGACGAACAGACCATTGCGTGCAAAAACGTGTCGCTGTTTTGTATTGATGAAATCACACGAACGTCGCGAAGTGACACATTTTTCTTTACAGAGTTCCCATTGACAGAGACGGAACGTGTTGTGATTGACATATTCTCGAGACTGTTATGTGTCGATTTTGATACATTTAATGACAAAATTAAAGAGTATATATGCGCGATCGATGAGGTGATATTGTCGTTCCATCACCGAGTCCTTAGTAAAGAGAAACTTAACAAGCGAAAGGCGAAGAAGACGAAGTAATTACTTGATTGATAGGTTCATGGTTTTCAGTTCCGCACCACTGGTCAATAGAAGATAAAATCATTCTTAATATCACTCGAAGCGAAGGATAAAGAGTCTTGAGACGTGTATTTTGTTGTGTGTGTCCAAATTAGTACATCCATATATCTGATGGAACGTTGGAGTGAAGACGGCATCCATTGAACTATATAAAGTCATCCCATCGATAATGTTAAATATCACAGTTTGGTCGTCTGGGGAGTTTATTGAAACAACTTCAGTACGGCCAGGTAACAACTCTGAGATCTTTGGAGAAATGTTGTCGTCTCGACTTATTAAAAATGAAAAGAACTCAGTCCCTCTCTTGATTATAGTCTTCGATGGGGTATAAACCTGAAGCCCAGATGATGTAAAAAAGCCAAAGCAATTCGTTTCAGTCATCAGCAAGAATGCAATGTTCCGTTTGCCATAGATGTAATTGGACAGAACATACGATTTGCTCTTCACATAGAAGTCACTCTTGCTGTCGACTAATATCTCTTTACATCGGAGCTCCGTCCAGTTGTTGATGATGTGAATATTGTCGCGGAGAAACTTGATGTCGTCGTCGGTCGCTGTGTTTGCAAAAATGCCCATATCTTTTTAAGTTCTTAATTACCATTTATTCTATTATGTTATGGGACCTACATTGACCACCACCACCTCTTAAAATAGATTTATTTTTTCTATTTCGAATCATATTCAAATTATAATTATAGTAAATAGGAAACTGGGATAATATTAGGTCTGGTTCCCGAATTCAAAAAATGCCGAAAAATCACCTCGAGTCAGTGAAAACCGAGTGAGACGGAGCATTGAAAAGAAGGCTCTGAAGACACACTCAAACAGTCTGTTTGTGCACCGTTTCACCCACTTTCCAAGTCCTCCCTTGGCGCGGATCCCCCCTGACCCCCCCGCAAGCGGGGGGGAACCACATCCGCGTCCACACAGTACGGACAAGGAAAGTGGGTGACATGGGGACGCACAAACAGTGGCTGAAAAGTGGACTTCTTTCAAAAAACAATCGCGGCAAATATTTTTTTTGGTAAAGGTGGTGAGGGTGGGAAAGGATGGTCCCTTATGTTATTAATAAAAAAATGGTAAATTTATAATAAAATAAGTTATAATGAACTACATAATTCTAGTTGTTTATACTTCTCCACTGGAGTAATAATTAAGAACATGAATTAAAGAATGAAGTCAGTTGGACTGTTAACAGGGGATGTAGTGACAGGAGACTGTGGGACGTTGTTATTACTCATTCTCCTTTCCAAGAAGAAACTTTTTCGTGAGTCTCTCAGATCTGAATTTTGTGGTTTTTTCTGTGTGAATTTGGGGGATGAAGCTCTCTCTATATGAGCTGCCGGATTAATGACTTCACTCTTACTGTATTCTTGATTTGTGCGTTGTTTAATTTTCAAGCTAGAGAAGTTCATACTTTGCCGCATCGTATGGACCCGATTCTGTTTCTTAGACTGAGAAGGGGTATACTCTTTTTTGACCTCCGCTATGATTAATTCGTCCTTCAGTAACTTCTTCCGCTTCTTGAAATTGACACCTACGATGGTACATAAGGCTTCATCACTCAATTTCTCCGGATCTATATTCATACACATCATACACTTCAACTCATCCGTTGTTGTCAATTTGTCACCGATGATCACACGACCACAACAGCTGCATCTAAAGCAGTTGACGTGGTAAAATTGCTTTTCGAAGAATGCGACACTTTGGTCCGGACTGATCTCTTCATAACAGAATTTGCAGTACACCCTTTTCACATCCGTTGCAAGTAAACTGAATATACTTTTAACAGTCTCACAAGGATAATTGAATGTCGAATAGTCTTGTAATAACGGACAGATATCTTCTAATATAAAATTCTTGGCAAGTTGCTCTTCCCTCTCAACAAAGAACATGAACCGCATCTGACTCTCCTCAAACTTTTTAATGACTTGGTACTTATCTTTATATGGAGACATCCCATTTAAGAACCCTTCAAAATTGAACACCATCTTTTGCTTCACTTTATCAAACTCAAACGACTTGTTGTACGTCCCAAAGATACTCGCTAAGTACTTCGCAAAGCATTTGTATATCAAATTGTTCGATTCTTGGCGCAGTTCTTCGGCCATTTCGCTCTCGTCTCTCTTATAATAATATTCCAAGAATATTGAATACAATGCACTCTTCAATTGCATCGCTTCTTCTGACACAAAAACAGCGTCAAAATCTATTTTATTCAAATTGAGTATTTTACCATTATCTGCATCTAATATGATCGTATCATCCATCGACCCACACTCTTTAAAGACGTTCTCGAGAAATGCATTTTTGATTCCAATAACCTATTAAATTACTATAAAAATGCTATACAATAGAATAGATAACAGATAGTATAAATTATAATAGAATATATTAAAATAGAATATTATAATATATACAAAAACAAACATAAGGCATGGGGGCACTACAATAAGTGAGGAGTGACACGGGTAAGACGGGAATAAAGACGTGTTGCCATTGGAATGGAGTAATCAACGAAGTGAATGCCATAACTGTTTCTGATAAGACTTGAATTGATTGACTGACAAAGAGGAACTTTCTTTCGACTAATAAATACCCGACTAAGTCAACAAGCATCGACGCACCAAAGACGGAGATGAGCTTGAGGATGTCATGATTTGAGTTGGAAGACACATCAGACGAATTAATGATTTGGTAAGTTGTGTGGTGGAAGTTGATATTGGACAACACGCCATTAGGGACGGGGACGTTTTGCAGGCAAATGTCGTCCAAAAAGAGTTTTAAAATGGTGAGAGATCTGAGGCGGAGTTTCTCGACGATTTTAAAGATGTCGACAAAGACTTGAGTTTGTGGTGATTTGCCGACTATACAGACACATTCCGGTTGTTCGAAGTGTGGAAAACGAAGACAGTACGCGTGCTTTCGAGTGCCATTCATGTCGGTTAACATGAAAGTGAAAAATTCGGTCGTCGTAGGTTCTTTGAGTAAACTCCTTTGTTTCATCAACGAGTCTCCTTCAGAAAAACAGAACGGAAATACCGTTTTCTGTTGGTCTATATCGTCTTTAACGTGTTGATATAAACATTTCATTGTCAACTTATTGTCTTGCATCACACAGCGAAGTATAATGATATCCTCCACGAGCAATTCGGGCATGAGAGTTTCAGAGTTATTAGACTAATTTAGTTCTAATTCACTTCACAATCATTGGTTCATATAATAATTATTATTTGAAAATAAAAGACTCAACCATACCAATTATCCCGTTCAATTAAACATTTTTTATATATTATACTAATAGAATTTTTGTTAAACAAAATGCGACATTTCTTGTGTTGTATGTCATTCATATTAATTGTCAACTAAAGTAATTATTAATATAGTTAAATTTACTATTAAGTAATACTTAAAAGTAAAGTACTTCTTGGACAAGTAGGTTTGTTTTCAGTAAAAATAGTACTATAAAAAACACTGGTCTATTTTTACCATTTATTATTAATACTAATAATAAATTATTATTTTTTATCAAAAAATTCTAACATTTTTGAATAGTATTAATTAATAGATATTTATTAATGTAACTAAAAATTATAAAAAACAAATTCTATATTAAACATTTATTTAATTATTTATTAATAGTATTGATTGTAATTATAAAAATAGACAATACAATCAAATTATACCATAAGTATAGTAAATAAATAAGAAAACAAGAATAAATAATTTATACATTATCTAGGCAAAAAGCACACTGTTCTCGAGTTGTTGGATCGCGAAGATATCTTCGATGCCAAATTCCTTGACGCTTTCGAATAAAATAATTTCCTCTTCACTGACATTTTTTTTGTTGTTAGTTTCTGTTTTTGTGCTTTTCTCGACAAACTTTTCAGTCCCCAACAGTTCATATCGAAACGCAGGAACTGTCTCTAAATAGACTTTCTCCGCAATCTTCTTCTCGCCAAGTAATTTAGTGAGTAGTTCGTGGTCGTTGAAATTCTTTATTACAACTGTCGTAATGAAATAGGTATCTTCAAAAAACTCTAAAAAGTCGAATGGTTGTCCACAGAAGTCCAAGACAACTTTGTCGAGCTGTGGGAAATCGGATAACTCAATGTTGTCATAGTAAAACACTTTTGCAGAGATCGACACGATCTTCTGACGGATCTGACAGAGTAAGTCAGTGTCTTGTGGCATTTCAACTAAGTTGATTTTAGCGAGTCGATTGATGTCTTGGTCGATGACCATTCGGCCTTCCACAAACTTACCGATATCCGTCCCGAGTAAAGTCATCTCATTACACCCTGGAAACACCTTTAAAAGGTACTTAACTTCTTTGTCATAGTGTGGTATAGCTTTGATCTTATCAATGACTTTAGAAGCGTTTTTATTCATCATCTTGACGTGGACCACCGTGTCTAGAGGTAGATAGGCGACAACAAAACCGAGGGAGTCTCCAAGCTTCATTGGCATCTAAAAATTTTGAGTTCTGTTGCGTTTCCTTTTATGTCATTTTTTTCTGGAAAGTCTCAGTTTTGTTGTGAAGATTTCGTTCGGCATTTTTGTCCTAATCCCGTTGTATTCCATGTTTTTTACGTGTTATAAAAAAGAATGTCCTAAACATGATGAAAATGAAACGACATTCAATTGAGATTGAATTTCGTTCTGCATTTAAAAGGTTTATTAACCGTGTTGTTGTTTTGAGTGGAATATAAGTGAGAACTAAACCACGTGTAAACAATTGTTTTTTTGTAGTTTGTTTATTATTGTATTCATAACTATAATAATTTTTATTTTGACTTTTGGACAATGAAAAAAATAGACTATTTTAGTGGCTTTGGTAATATGGAAAAAAAGGAAAAATACCCTATTGAATTGGGGTGTTTTGAATGAGGTAATTAAGTTGACATAATTGACATTTTTCTACCAAAATCATTACTTTTTTGTATATTAGACGTATATTAGAAATATTACTCAATGATTCTCAATTTACTATTATAAAATAGTTTTATATTATATAATTATTGGTTTGATTGATGGAATCATTCGTAATTTTAATCGATTACCATTAGTTTTTATTTAATTACAATTTTTATTATGATATTAGTGTAAATACTACTAAAATAGCGGGTTTAAATATAAAAACTCGAAACGTTTTTAAGATTGAGTTCAGGATTATTCTAAAAAAATAAAATAAATGTTATACGAATTAGTGTTTTAAAAGAAAATTACAAAAAAGGTCAATTTCAATATTTTTATATAAAAATTAACTAAAGTTATCAGGACTCTTTGATTTTTTGTTTTTTAGATGTTTTTAAGTTTGTTTTTAAAAGAAAACTTTTTTTTCAAAAATAAAATGTTTTTCAGTGTTAAAAAAAGTGTTAAAAATAATGTTATTTATTTTAAAAACATTCTTTGTTTAAAAATTATTATTTATTTTTTAGTACATTACTTAATTAATTAAGTTAATTAAATATAACTACTTATAAAATATAATAACATAATATATTTAATTATAATTTTTTTAATACATATATTATATAATTGTTTATGTATTCAATTTATATCACTTATTTTTGGATAATATAACTTATATGTATTTTTTAATATTTAAATGATTATATTATTATATCAATTATATGATTCTAATAGAATCATGATAATGATTAAATATTTTTTTATATAGTTTATTATTTTTGTAATTATTGTTAAATTCTTTTGTTAAATGTTGACAAAAAAAGCTTTTTTTAGACTTTTGATAATATATTTTTATTGAAAAACAAAAAATAAAAATGAAAAATATTTTTTTAAATAAATTATTAATATGTTTCATTAGTATATACAATTTTTATTAATATAATAATATATTTTTACTATACTTTCGAACATCATTTTTTTGACGAACAGGAGTAAATCAAATGTAAAAAATTTACACTGACTAAATCCATCTAACGAACTAAAATACTAATCCCGATATTTAACTATATTAAACTGCCAAATAAAATGACAATTTGGTTCAAATTATCTTTTTGAAGAATTTGTCTTCCCAAAAGTCCATATTTTAAACTTTTTATCTCAAACCAACTTTTTTGATTAATTATCAATTAATTTATCAGAAATATCCCATTAATTTAGTATAAAAATGCCTAACAAAAACTACAATATATAATCCATTCCTATAAACGATAAAAAGTCATTCCATCAGCCATATGGGATTCATTTGTAATACTTTGCATTTTATCGTCAAAACATTACTCAATAGCATTTTTGAGAGTAGTCCTTCAAAACTGTTATTGTTGTTTTTGTAGAACTAGTAGTATTAGTAAATTAAATTAACAATAAACCATCAAAAGCATTCCGAGTCGAAAGTGAAGAATACTGTGAAACCGCTCCAAAGCTTCCTTTTTGCCGGTCTGCAAATAGTCTAAATTTCAAAGAGGACAAACTCATTCACATCTTAAAATTTAAATTACTTTCAACATCAATCGATGGATACAAAAAAATATTTCGACTGTTCGCAGAACTCGAAGTTTATTCTTGACTTCGACAAACTCAGCCCAACAATTCACCAACTGAACAAACAATCGTTTCTCGAGTTGCCGTACCCAACAAAGAAGGAAATTCGTTTGTTCCACTAATTGCTTTGTACTAATAATATATAATATAAAGAACTATTAATTTAAGATTTGTTTTGTATAACATCGGAGTGACATGTAGAGGCTTTTACACCTCTCACACACAACCAAATCACACACATTGCACACGTACTCGTCACGCATCAAAACATCCGACAGTGCTTCTCGTTTTTTGTCCCACAAGAAATGTTTGTTTTGACTGTGAGAGGAATGAAATAACGCAAAGCCCTGAGAACATCTTTTGGTGTAAGTACTTTCGGTTACTCTTTACGGTCCAGGACAGAGAATCGGATTATAAGAAGTACATTAAACACCGTGACAATAAGAGGAGTGATTCCCTCACACACGTCCTTCAAATCTGGAAAGTTTCCTTCTCGAAAATGAAACTTGAAATTCCAAGCTCATTGAATCCCAAACAAGGTCTGTTGCTACTTACTGGATCAAAGGAAGTCTTAGACACAACACCAAAATTGATCAACCAACTCATTAAAGTCGTTTTCCCTTTTGCATCGACGAAATCGAATATGTTCAAACGGACGGTGTTCATCTTAACATCCCCTGTGATCGTCAGAATTAATATTCAAAGCGGACAACATGACATTCCAGACATCGACTTACCAATTCACCAATTGGAAGACAAGTTGGAGCCTCAAATGCCAACAGAAGTCCAAAGCGAACGACCTGTTGAACGTCCCCGGTCTTCTATAGGGGACTGTTCCCGACAAAACACTGCAAGAGTCTCATTGGATTCGACTCCGATGGGGATATTAAGTGGAGGAAGTCTAGGGGGGCATATCATCGATTCGATCAGTGAACGGCCACGCATGAGCTTTAACGAGTTACAGCGGAACTCCATCACCAATTCTGAGAGTGATATTCCCGCCCATCGATTTCTCATTGCGACGTTTAACACGCTCTTCAATCGTATGAAAAACCACAAGTTACAGTTTGTCGGGCCGTTATTAGGGTTCTTGGTGAAACATTATCAAGGGATAGAAGCGTACGTCATATGCCACACTTTCATCTGCTCATGTTTGTATAGAGGGATATACCCATTCACCGTCGTTCAGTTTGATTATTTCTTCCTCATGTTGGACGATATTGTGTGTGAGAGGATGCCCAACTACGCTGAGTCATTAACAGTGTCTTTGACTACAATCTACGAAAATTTGTTTGTCAATCTGTTGGTGCCTTTACTTGATGACGTCGACAAATTTATTTCCCTCACGATTTTACAGCATTTGTTCTTGTACGGATACCCGTTTGCAGTCAAATTGGTGGTGACGATGATGGAAGAGTCGCACGCCCCACCGAAGAGGATGGAGGAGGTCGTCCCGATCTTTAAAAAAGTGTTGGAATATGACGCCCCGGGGATTTTAGCGCTTGCGACCCAAATGAAATTACCTGATTTTGCGAATTATCACTTCTTGTTCTCAATTAAAGAGTCGGTCCACTCGACCGTCACTCCGTTTACAGAAACTGATCGACTTGAACGTAAGATGACGCTGGAGAAGATGTGTAGCTTCACGTTACCAACTGATTTGATGTGCGAAGACTTGTTATTGGAATTCACTTCAATGCTTCCAAACCGATTTGCAGTGATGGACTTCATGTGCCTCTTTTCGACCAAAACGGACGGGTTTTCGTTGCGCAATTTGTACTCGTTATGTGCGGCTCGAAATCCTTTAGTCATTTTTATACAAGCAGAAAACGGTGATTTGTTCGGCGGATATCTCCCCGACCCAATAAAGATTCATCGCAATTTCTATGGGACCGGCGAGGCATTTCTCTTCACGTTGGTCCCTAAAGTGAAGAAGTACAAGGCAACAATGTCCAACACGTTTTATGTGATGACAGACTTGAACAAACTCATTATGGGCGGCGGACGGGGATTTCCCGGCCTTTCAATATCAAAGGACATGGAAGGTCAGACGTACGAATGCCCGACTTTTAATAATGAGCCTCTTACTATTAATCAACAGTTTAAGATCCAACGCCTTGAGGTATGGACCGCCGCTTCTGTTGCTTTGATTTCGACAATTTCAGAGTCCGTCTCGGAAGCATCTTCTTCTCGTCAGTCTATGGAAGGTCTTTGAGTCTTAAGACCCAATTTATGTACTATTCAGATACTATTTCATATAGTAAGTTACTGTGTTATTGTTTCGAGTTTGCTAGTAGTTTTATTTTAATTAGATTATAGTACAATAATTCCACCTACATACAACAAACTGTACTATAAATAAATTATAAAAATGCAATCAATTTTTCCAGTCGGGGCGGTTCTTTGTTAAGTTTTCGAGATTCTTTGCCATCTCTGCGTCTTGAGCGACGGGTGCCTCGAACTTTTGTTGTTGTTTCTTTGACTTTGACATTAACTCGATTTTCATGTGTTTGTCCATTTCGTTGATTGGAATAGCCTTCTTACAAATTGGACAGACTTGAAGTGTTTCTGACGTTGGTGCTTTCTTTCTTGGGACTTCGTCTTGTTGTTCGAGTTGGTCTTTTTGAGTATTGTCGATTTGGTCGACTTTGTTTTCAAATTTCTCAACTTCAGCGATATGAACATCCTCTTCCATCGCTTTTTCATTGATGGTTTGAAGCAATCCAGTGGTGTGTTCTTCTTCGACGACATCTTCGAAGTCGACCACTTCGACCACAATAAAATCGTTCCAATTGATCGAGTTGTATAAGTCGGCCTCTTTGGCTTCCTTCTCTTCAACTAGTTTCTTCTCGGACTCAATAATCTTTTCGTAGTCTGCTCGCATTTTCGAATACTTCAACACGTTCTGTGAGTTTTCAAATGTCCTGCTCAGAAATTGAAGATACTGCGGCTTTGGGTGTAAGATCTGGTTATATGACTCGCAGAGTTGTGCAAAGTATTGGTAATTCGGGTGGTTCTTTTGAAGGAAATAAAACACGGGGTTTCGGGCTTCTCTCTCCGCTAATCGTTTAATGAAATCCGTTCCGTTTTTTGCTGTGTATTGCGCAGTCGTCTTGATAATTTGATCTTCCTCTTCGGTGATGTATGGGTGTTGGATCACAAAACGGTTCTTAATAGGCTTTGGTGGCATTTACAAGGCAAATTAATAAAGAAGTTCTGATGTTTTTGTTTGGGATCGACAGAATAGAATTATTATAGATAATAAAAACTATATGAAAAATTACTCTGACTTAGCTTTTTCTTTGTGTTCGGTCTTGTCTTGGGAATATATCTGCGGTTTTGTGGCCTCTTCCGTTTTGAACAAGTACACACTGAATATGACACACACAAATAAACACGTCCCAATCGCAAATAACACGACTGCTAGATACATTCCATCGGCGACAAAGTGAAACTCATCGAGGTTAAGTAAATTGAGACCGTATGTGATTTTAACATAGGCATCGGGTAGGCAACTCAGAAGAAGTGCGAACAAAAAATTTTCGACTTGTACACCGACGACAGAGAATATGAAAAAGAGAACCCTTATTGGTAACAACGGGATGAATGTATCAAATAGTTGCAACGCAGACATATACCAGCCAAACTTTGCACAAAATCTTCGGATATCGTCAAGTTTTTTAAACTTTAAACTCACCAACTCGAAGAAATAGAAGAGCACAGCGTACACAGCAAAGTGCCCCAACACGATTGAGGATACTGAGAGGACAAATGCAAAAATTGGATTTTCCTTATACAATTCAGTCTGCACCAAATCTAGTACATTGGCCATCCCATCGTCAGTGATATGGTACATAACTGTCGCAAAGTATAATGTGAAGTAAAATACAAATTTCTCTTTCGCTGCTGTTAAGACAGCAAGTGCTTTGTGTATTGTGCGCGAAATTGTTTGCGTGTCGCGGAGACCGACATTATCATTTGAAAATAGTGTAATGTTCTTTGTAAAGTCTGGCACTAACATCTTCACGGCAGGTGTGTGTACAAACACAACTGGTGGGAGGAACACCAACATCAGCAAAATGTTGCTGACAATGAATACCAAAATAGTGAAGAGGACTCGTTTGTCCATCAATTTCGCTTGATTATTTTCCACGTTCAAGTTCTCTCTCTTTCCACCAATTTCTCAATCTCGAAATGACTGATTTCTATTATAGTTATAGTATATTTATGATTATCACTAGTTAAATCCATTGTTTAAATTTTGTCTTTTTTTGCATCTTTTTCAGCCATTTTCTCACAAAAAAGGAAAAAAGTTTTCAATTCTCCTCCAAAGCCAATGAAAAAAATTTGAAAAATCTTTTTTTTAACTATATTTTATTATAATGTTTTATACTATTAAGTAATTTACTAAAAATGTTATTTTTTACTCGAATAACAAAAAGAGAATTTTGTTTTTACAGCACAATTATTATTTGTTTTTTTCTTTTTTTTTAGTTAATGTCAAACAACTTCAAATTTATGTGTTTAATTAAAACAATCAATTATTAATTATTTTTTGTTTTTTCAAATAGTTAAATCAAAATTAAAAAAAATGAAATAGAAATTGTCCAAGTGGTGTATTAATTCGAAAATTGTAATCAATTCCATTTTTTATATTAAAACCAATCTAAAACTAATAAATACAAAAATGACATATTGTAATTAATAGTACAAAGAACTATTAATTCGAAACCATTCAAAATGAAACCAAAAGAAGTATCAGTCCTTTTCAATAATGATAGTGTTTTTGACATACGGAGGTCTCAGTCCATTGCAGTAGTCGGTGTGGTGGTCTCTCATGAATACTGAAGCGACCAGTCCGACCAAACTTGTGATGAAGAAGATCATGACAATAGCAAAGAACCTGACATAGAAGTAATTGTTCTCTTGGAGTTGATACACTACAGAGAGTAAGATAGCCAATGAATTCACAATTTTGCACAAAATAGCTACGACGCCGTAGTGCATACTGATAGTGTCGTATGTACTATTTTCGTATATAAACCGTCTGATAGTGACATTCGTCTCCTAGTCAATACACTGATAGTATATTTTATTATATTAAAACTATAAATGATCGGTATGCTATATTATATAGTATAAAACTATAAAGTACTAGTATATGAAACAAACTGTTGAACTTGCGAATCCCGCGAAGACGCAGCCGATATACCCGAAGACGCCGCTTAATAGACCGAATTGTTGGAAACAAGTCATGATAGCAACGAGAGAAAGGATGATGATCATCATACACCTTGGGCCGAATTTGTGAAGAAGTGGTGGTGAGATGAAGAAAGAGACCACCGCTGCATAGAAGAAGATATTTTCTTTAATTTCTAACATGAAAGTGTCTGTGTGGAATATGTCCGATTGAACCGTATGGAATAAGACAGTAGTATACAGTGGAGCATATTGAGTCCCTATAACACACAATAAGAACATAATAAAGTTCTTATCGCGTATCATATCCCCAATGACCATTCGAAAGTTATTGAAGATGTATGGAATGTTATAACTTAATTGGCGAATAGGTGGCTTTGTGATATGTTCTTTAAGAAACATATAAGGAATCAGTAAGATGAACGCAAACACACATATAGCGGTCGACAAGATGAACGTCCCCGTCGGTTTCTCAATGTCTTGCCCTTTTGTGATGAGAGAAAGGGCTTGTCCGTTCAAGTTAAAATACTTGAGATTCGGAAAAGCTCTTGCCATATAAAGATATAAGAAGTTTGTAAGAGTGGACATCAAGATCGAGAGGTGGTCCGCAAATTGACTACACATCAACATCTTATAAATTTATAATAATTTTATAATTAAATTATTATAAAATAAATTATAAAATAAATTATAAAATAAATTATAAAATAAATTCTAATAAATACTATAGTACTATAGTATTATTTATTATAATAAAACTAATAATAATACCAGAGGAAAACAAACTGTAAGTCGCCAGTAGACACAAATGGGACTTGAGAGCCATGAAGAGATACAGCAGCTTGGGGTAACCATGCAGTGAAGAATAACAAAATCCCAAACACGTAAATGTTATATGTCCAACAGGCTATAATGACCAGAGCTAAGTAAAATGTACACACACAGAAGATAACAGTCTTCTTTACAGCATACCGAACTGCAAAACATAAAATGACAAGGTTCACTATACCACCTACAATCGAACAGACTAAAACTACAGAGGCAAATGCGGCTAATGATGGCATATACCCAAGACCTTGTTGGATTAAGAGCACAATGAACATCGTGTTAATGCGGTGCTACGCGTAAAATGTTATTCAAAATGTTATTCGACAAACAGTGAACTCTAATGGGACTTCCACAGCAAATTGTCCGAGCGCCCATAATACGACATTGAGCGGAGACCGATGACTCATGTCTCCTTGTTTCAACAGAACTTGATGTTCTTCCCAAGCTATATTCATTACTTTTTTAGTCTATTTTATTGAACTACTTGAAATTGGTGTTGAGTTCTAATAAGCATTGAATAAGGAAATACTTAATAATAATACGAGTCAAAAGTCTGGAGATGTGGGTGAGATGGTAATGTATTTATAAAATGACAAATTTGATAGTTTTTTAATTATATATTGGTGGTACTGACAAAATAACTATAAATATGACATGGTATGAATTATTAGTTATTTTAATTAATCGGAACTAAAATATAGAATTTGATAATATTTTATATTATCAAATTCTATAAATAATACGACAGAATTGTATAGTATTAAAAATAGAAAACAAAACTAGACAATTATTGTAAAACTAAAAAGAGAAAAAAATGAAACAAGTAATTATATTTTTCTAGTAAAAAAAACAATATGAAATATACTAAAAATAAATTATAAAAAACCATACATCATAATGTACTTACAAACAGACAACCATTTCTTAATCGACACAGATGTCTTTGAGAAGTGCCTCCATCTTTTCATTTCTTCTTGCGATAGTCTTCTTAATGACTTCCTCGTCCTCTTCTGTTGAAGATGTGAGTTGGTGATTTGTGCACTCCTCATCGATCTTCACGAGTGCTTTTATAACGGCTTCAAAATTGAGTCTTGCACTTGTGTCTTGTTTCCAACACCCTTCGACCATGTTTTTATACAGAATAGGCATCTTATCGTTGATATTGAGTCTCTTCCCGCTCTCCACGTGAATTTTAATATCAAAAAGTGATTTGAAGTCTTTATAAGGTTCTTCCTGATAGAAGATTTCCCAAGCTGTGATACCAAAAGAGTAGACATCCCCACCAAAAGTATATTCGTCCTTGAAAGCTTCGGGTGCGGCATAGATAGGTGTTCCAAGTCCTTTATCGACATTCATCCCCATCGTCTTCTTAGTGAATCTTGACGTCCCGAAGTCCGTGATTTTGACAGAGCAAGCACTGTTAGGGTCCAATGAATTGACTAATAAATTGTCTGGCTTCAAGTCCAAGTGCATAATTCTATTCTCGTGCAAGAACTGCATTCCTCGTGCTGTATCAAAGAGGATTTTTAACTTCAGTTTGTATGACATTCGCAAATAGTCCTCTTTGTCCTCACGCAAATACTCTCCTAATGAGCCTAAAACAAAGAATTGAATGACCATCGACACTTGTGGAATGTATGTCACCGACCCCATGTAATTCGCTATAAACGGATTCCTCAATTTACTCATAATCTCACATTCAGCTACTACACTCTTCTTTAATTCATTCATCTCTTCCTCGTCTAAATTCTCCCACCGGAATTGCTTGATAGCAACGGGGACACTCCGATAATTCCCAAAGTACACTTTCCCCATCGCACCTTCAGCTATTGGCCTCTCGGACATATTCAACTCGTCCAAGTCGATGTGTGTCGAGCTTGCAGCGTCTGTTGTGACGGACATTTGGTAATGGAAATGTTTCAAGACTTTGGGATACAGTTGGGACATCACTTCTTTATCATGCGCATCCCATGTATCAAATGTCTTATCTCTAAGTAACTCCGCGATGGCACTAAGAGTCCTGACAGATTCGGAGAACCATATAGTGTATGGCAGCTTCATATCACGAATCCGTGTAGTGCAGTAGATAGTCATGTAACACACACAAGACCGTTCTGTTCTTGGATTGACAACAACTACTTGAGGTTCAAAGTGGAATACAAATTTTGGGTTATTTGGAGTGTGGAAGATCACCAGCATGTGCTTTTTCTTCGAGTTGTTCTTGACAACAAATCGCTCAAATCGCGTGTCAAGCACTTCCGTCATTTCATGTTCATTTCCAAAGTCCAATGAAAGGGGGGAGATGTAATACTCTCCGTCTTTCGCTGGTGCTTTTAAAGTACTTCCAGTGATGTAATGGTAATACTCCGGTTGTTGTGTTCTAAAGACTTCAATATCGACTTCTTTGTATCTCAAGATTACCATCCCAATAACAATTAATATACCGATAAACACTAAAAAGGCTACCACACATGCTAATGTTATTAAAACTATTACATACGTCGCTAAAGTCTTTTTGCCACACGAAGTCGGGTTGTCACTGAGAGTATAAAACCCCGTCACACAGTGACAGGTGATATCACAATTGGTCCCATTGTCACACTCTTCTTCAATGTGTTGACCATTAAATGTGTATGTGTCTATCTCCCCATTACCACACGTGGTACTGATACATCGACCTTCTAAGGATTTAAACCCATTTTGACAGAAACAATTGTCAGTACACCCAAGGCTTCCTCTTATACACTCTTCATTGGGGCCGATACTCCCACTGATACATTGTGTTGATATACAAAGTTCATTTGAAAGTGAATATCCCGGTGCACAGTGACAATACTGATCACAACTTCGGCTTCCAAATTGACACAAATTTGAATGTTCGTCGACTTGCCATTTTCCATTGTGATAACACTTCAAATGACAATCATCCCCTCCATAAGATTCTTCACACTGACACCCTCCAAAGGTAGTTTGGCATTGCCCATGACCCAATTCATAATTACAATTACTTGGACAGATCACTTTAAAGTCGACGTCGACATTTGAATTGAATTCTTGTGTCATGACGGAGAAGTATCGAGTTTCATTGGTCGGGTTACTCTCTATTCTCACTTTGATCCCATATGTATTCCCCATCTTCTTAGCTACTCCATATTTCTGTCCGTTCCAGAATTGTACACATTCCATATTACTCACAACATCGCCATTCAAATCTTCTTTGAACCTGAACTCTTGAAGATATAACACTTTGTTGACTCTTGTAGAGTCCACCATTAAAGAGTAGTTTCCTTTGAAATTTACAGCAAAGATCATGTTCGACATTAAGACATTTTGAATGCACGTTGGGTACTCGAAAAGGCCATATTCTTCAAACGGAAAACGGACTGTAACTTTTGAAGATAAGTCACTTTTTAAAGCGTCTGTGGTCTCTTGGTTGAACTCTTTAAAGACTATAAACTTGTACCCCCTGTCTTCTATGACTAGAAACTTGAAGTCGATTCTTTCATAGCCTTCTATAGAAATAAAGACGTAAAAGAACCTTTCTGAAGAGACATGGGGAAACAGAATAGGCAACTTCATTTTGTTGTATAAATCTGTCCCGATGAGTGACACTCTTCCAAAGCAAGTGCCATATGGATCATCTCGTTGTGAGTTGGACACATCAATCGACACTTTAGTATCTGATATGATATTCTTACTCAAATTGAATTGAATGTATTCCGAGCGGAACGTATTCATATCGACTTTAAACCACTTGGAGACTCTGTATTTGTCCGTATGAAAACAAGGCCCATAATCCACTGGAGTGGAATCATCAAAAGAAAATGAGTATATGATGTTCTTTTCTATTTGTTGCACATCATCAGGTACCCACCCAGTCTTTTTAACCAAATTTTCTCTAAATAAACAAGTGTCTTTATTCTTAATATACACATAGTCTTTTCCTTGTAAATGATCATCAGAACAATAAAGACAAGATGACTCTTGGTCATATCCCACGTCACAAGTAGTGTTACATGTATAATTGGATATACAATCGCCTTTACATCCAGAAGAACACTCAAATGAATATGTAAGGGTGTATAAAAGACTCACAAGTATAAGATTTGTTGGCATATTGCGTACTATATGAATTTTGAAGTTCGAAAACTTATATAATCAGAAGTTTTACTATAAAATATAAAATGTTTTTTTTTCAATAATTTCTGTTTGCTTCGATGAGTGCAATTTGTTTTTAGAGTCCCTGTTTGTAACATACTATTAATCAATAGTATGTCATATTAAAAAGTATTGTCTTTTTTTCGCACTTTGTGATCTTGTGATTGGAATTTAGTTATTTATTTTTATTTGATTTTTTAATAAGACAATTGGTCTCAAAATCCATCACACGAATTGTATATAAAATAATGGGAAACAAACCTAAATTATTCAGAAATGGAATATACTCTTATTATTTATAAATAAATTATTGCTTTTGTGTCAATTCCTGGTTTTCATTATTAAAAAACTGAATTTTTGTTTTGTTGTGGGCAAACAACTATTTTTATTAATATTTATATTATTTTGCGAATATTTAATAGTATTTTTTTATCTCTTTTTACTATACATACACATTTAACTATTTTCATTGACTCTAACATTATTTAGTGAGTTTATTTTAAAAACAAACTTTATTTATAATTTTAATGGTTTGTTTTTTCTATACAATAAGTGTTTATTTTTGAACAATTCTTTGTTTTAGTAATTATAGTATTTTACTTATACATAAAACTATAGTTTGATACTAATTAAAGACACCAAAAATAAATAGAGTCAGTCGATAAACGTTGTCTGTTCCCCAAACGTTGTCTTTTTGACAAAAAATAATTGATTTTTGTTTTAAAAAAACGGGAATTAGGTAAAAATGAAAAAAACCGGGAAAAATATTGAAACAATGATTTTGGGGTTTTTCAAAAAAATTCCCGAAATATTCCATTTATAATGGTCTAAAAATCGGCAGACAACGTTACAGACCAGATAACGTTTAGCAAATGACTCTATTTGATATTTAGTTGACAAATTATTATATGCCAATCAACAAAAACAATCGTTTTGATAATTTTTTGAATACAGTAGAAATTCTATCGGTGTGTGATTCCATCCGTGTGTGACTCTATCGGTGTGTGGTTTTGACCAATCAAAAGTGGCCTACACACTGATAGAATATAATGATTTCCCACATATTTGGCACCAAAACCTGCAAAAATAATGTCAATTGCAAATTTGTTTTTATTTTAAAAGAGTAAAGACTTGGTACAGTTGGAGTAATAACCTGTCAACCGGAACTAACCTGTCAGCCATTTTTTAAATTCAATTTATGGTATTTTAACCATTAATTTGTCTTTTTTAGATTATTCAAGTTCAACAAAATCAATAACAAAAAGCAATGAATAAATGAGATGTTTTCTTCGAATTTCAAAAACGAAAAAAAAGCCGAAAAAAACTTCAAAAATTTCCAAAATTTGTCCTCATTTCACCAAAAAGAGTCATCGTTTTATAAAACATTTTCTTTTTTACTTGGTTATATTTTCTTGATTTTTTTTAGAAAATGTCTTCTCGTATTGAATCAATTTCAAAGTCTTTACCAAAAAGTTAAAGTGGAAGATATTCAAATCCCCCAAAACCCCAATTTTTGCACAAAACAATCCATTATTTTCATTTAAACAATTTTCTTTTAGGTTTTAAATCGTTCATAACTTTAAACATCCTTTTCATGTTGCCAAGTTTTTCATCACTGAATCTGATGTCCTGCTTCCCTAATCCTCAAAATCGCGTTGTCGCTGATCACAACACTGAAATTCCAAAAGAGACAAAAGAAACAAAACAGTTGAAGAAACCTTCTCTTTCACAAAACAGCATGTGTCAAAATGTCCAGAAATCAAAAGAGAATGGTATCTCTCCAAAGAGACTTCTTCTTGTTGAACAGGCTCTTGAACAAGCTTGGCAGGATGAGACATTTTTGAAGGAGACTTCCATGCGTGAACAAATCCATTATTTGCATTACAAACTTCATCACTCAACAAGAACTATCCAGATGCTTTATGGTGCTTCAAAATCCACGATAGACACCCACACCAGAAGAAAAATCGGAGAATTGAAGAACGGCAAACCTCCAAAAATCTCCAAAGATGTTGATAACAAAATCGACAAGTGGCTTGTCACTTGTAAACGAAAGGGAATTGCATGTACTGTCACTGGAATTTTTCGGTACCTGAGTCAAAAAGTACCCGACATTGAAATATCGCGACGGGGTCTCATTAAACACATGAAGAAGTTGAAGATTGGTCTCAAGAAAGCAACCGCAGAAGATCTAGACAGAATCTCCATCAATCCAGAGAACATTGTTGATAACTTCAAAGAGCTCAAAAAGTTTGACAATATACCAGCAGCCCTATGTGTAAACATCGATGAAATGGGAAGCAACGATTGGGCAGACAGAAAGAATCTATACATCTTCAAGAGTAATGAGGACAAGACAACCCCAAAGCACGGTTGTAGCAGGTCAAGTAAACATTCCACAGCGATAATTGGAATTTGTGCGGATGGAACAACGTTGCCTTTCGGCATTGTCATCAACCAAAAACAGTTCTTTTGCGAAGCCAAAGAGAAGTTCCCCGACTGTTTCGTCTATTACACAAACAACGGGTTCGTCAACAAATATATCTTCAAGCATTGGATGGCGCAGATCATCAAAGTGATCGTCAAAAAGAGAACAAAACTTGGTCTTGATGGTAGTTGGGGACTTATCACAATGGACTACTTTTCGGGACATCTTGACGAGGAGCTTCTTGGATGGCTCGAAGCAAACCAGATCAAATTGCACACATACTGCCCCCATTCAAGTCACCTCACTCAACCACTCGATCTGTGTTTTTTGGAGCAGTCAAAAAACACTCAAACGCAGCAAAGTCACTTGTTCGAAAGAGCGCTCCCACCAAAGAAATCACCACTATGTTTTCAGAAGTTGAACAAGAAGATGAGTCCGACCAGGAAGTCAACGACGCCTTCAATGAATTCATTGAAGATCCAGAGGACGTAGAGATTATGAAGTCGTTTGCAATGGAAGATGAAGCAATCAACAAAGTCCTTAATGGAAACAAAAGATCTCCAAACGGAAGGCAAATCAGCCTCAAAATCTCCTCACTTCTCAAGACTCTGAGTGATCGCTCAACCATTGGAACAGTGGTGGCTTCATTTGAGAGAAGTGGGATTGTCGTCAGAGAGGTAGATGGTATCAAACGAATAAGAATTGACCCGAATCGAGCTGCGCGGTTTGTAAAAGAAGATACTTCCATCGCGACAAGAACGGACATTCTGGAAATGTCGGAAATTCCGAATGAACCCGTTCTCATTGGGACTGTCGATGAAAAGGTTGTTGAAGTTCCCAACCTTTTGTCGACTCTGGTTGCGACGATCACAGAAGGTGTCGAAGCAATAGAGAACATTTGTTGTTCCGAAGAAATGAGACAGAGTGTAATCCTGATACAGAACGAGATCAGAAACTGACAGAGTTTAAAGAAAGATACAACCCAAATGAGAAGTCTTTGGAATCAGTTAAGTTTTATCTGGATCAAGACAAAAGGAGATACTTTGTTTCCAGCAAGCATGGTGACGATATCACGTTTTCAAGGAGGTGGTTCGAAAGGATGGATGGTGTTAATGTAACAGTGGTTCAACCCGATTGCCCCATAACCCCAATTCAAAACATCCCAGGAAGTTCCCAACAAAACGAGCAAAGAGGAAGAAGAACAAGTCGTAGAGGAAGAGCTCCAAGCAATAACAGAAGAATGGACACCAACAGCATTTCCAACGCCGGTCAAGAGACTTCCATCCATAATACTCAACAAGTAGAATTGCGACCGCCCCGGTTGGATTCTTTTCAACATGACGGTTCTGGAACCACCAGTTTCCAACCCACCTTCACTGTTAATTATGTGACACTCGGAACCCCATTCGAAACACTGGGGTATTCTCAAAGAAGACAAACCTTTTTTTCTCCTCAATTCTTCCCACATAGTGAATTGCAACAGCGTGGCGGAATGTTGTCCCAGCATCCCACCCATCAGCTTCAGCTGAGGCTGGTCCTCGATGACCAAGGTGTTGATGAAGAACATCACAATTAAGATGTCTTTTATTCTCATCGTTTTTCTTTTTTAGTTTTACTTTTTTACAAAACCCAAAAATACCAAAAAAGCTGACAGGTTTCATTTTTGAGATGAAATCTCAAAAAACAAATGCCATACAAAACGTACTAATCCGGGTTTTAGGCTTCCTAAAGGAAAATGGCTGACAGGTTAGTTCTGGTTGACAGGTTAGTACCTCACCTGTAATAAAAACTTAAAAAGAGAAAAATTATCAAACAGAAATAAATTCAAAAAAGATAAGAGAAGAAAAGCATAAAATGCTCCTCAAAAAATATTAAACTTTAAATGATATAAAAAAATACACCGAATTCCACACACCAATCACAAGAGAACGCTTGTGATTGGTGTGAGGACAGAATTGATACCTAAAAATTCATTAATTTCAGCAAGAACATCACAGATATTTTCGACACATGCAGACAATAAGCCTGGCGTGCTCATCCAAGTCTTTGAGGGTGAGGCATCTATGACATCACATTGCAACATACTTGACAAGTTTGGGTTGTTTGGTATCTTATTAGCACCACATGGAGTCTCACAGTTGAAGTCACATTTGATACAAATGCAAATGGGATATTAAATGTGTCTGCTGAAAACGAGACAACAGGAAAGCAGACTCTCAAAGGAACAGGTGGACAAGATGGTTGCAGACGCAAAAGAGTTCAAGGCAAAGGACGACAAGATGATGACTTTTGAGGCTAAAAATCGACACTCACCTTATGCTATCGTGTAATAACACAGTGAACAAGCAAATTTTTTCAAGGTTATCAACAAAAGACAAAGAAGCAATTGAAGCAATTATCAAGGTACACTTGAGTTGTAAATTGACAAGAATCCGCACCAAAAGTCCACGTGTTTATACAAAAACACGATGCGTTGTTCTTATTCTAAACAAATAAACAATTTAAAAATTCACAATATTATTTTATGTTTACACGTGTCGCGTTTTTTTTTTCGCAAAAAAACAAAAAAATACATTTTGTCATTTTTCTAGATTGTGGATAGTTTTACAAATTTCATGATTTTTTAGTTTTTTTGCCAGAAATTAAAAAAGAAAAGAAAAAAAATTTACACACCTTGGGAAAACCATTTTCATGACTCCACACACCGATAGAATTTTTACTGTAAATGTGCACATTTCTTCTTATCATGGAAATATTTATAAAAGTATTGTAATCAAATAAAAAATTAGTTAGTTTTAAGAAATAACTTTTTTTATTTCAATAGTACTTAAACAAATAAAACAACAAAAAAAAATTTATAAATTAAAGTCAGTCCGAAAACGTTGTACACCGACAACTTTTACACCCGACTTTTCCATATTTTTTTATCCTATTTTTCGGGATTTTTTTTGATTTTTCCCAAAAGTGCGTTTTTATTTTTTGCTGCTATTTTTGTTTTTATCCTAATACCCCCAAAAAATTGGAAAACAAGTCTAATATTCGTAAAGTGTACAATGTTTACGGACTGACTCTATTACAATATTCCTTTTTGATTTAAAAAATGAATAAAAACACTCAAATTTGTATGATTTTATTCATTTTTTAGATCAAAAAGGAATAATTAACCCTTCGAGGACTGAAAAATTTTTATTTTTTTCTTTTTTTTTCAGAAAAAATTTCAAAAAATAATTTCACTTTTCCAAAAAAATGAAAATAATGGCGACTTTTCATGAACAATTTAGAATGATTTTTGACTTATTTGATAAAATAGTTCAACTTAAATTCAAACTTTTGAATTATTTATAAAACATTTCATCATTCATAAACTCAAATTAATTGGTTTTTGTTAAAGATTTGTCCTTCAATCAATAAAATATACAATTTAACAAATTAATATTAGTAATAAAAATAATACGAAAATAAACTGTTTTCATAAACAAATAAAAATGTTAATTAAAATTGATTAAATAATATTATCAGATATTCAAGTTTTTCAAAAAACAAAATAAAAAACACTTAAAAAGTGTGCAAGATTGTAGGTTTGATATAACCAATAAGATTGGTTCAAACCAAAATAAAATAACAATATACAGTGCCTAAAATGGGTGGGCGACTTTTAAAGTATTAGGGCGGAAATAGTAAAAATTATGAAGCCCCTGTTTTTTACTTAATTCGAAGAAAATGTTATTGTTTTTTTGTTTTATAAAACAAAAAATTTATTGTTGTTTTTAATAACACAAAAACTTTAAATAACACTTTGTAAAAATAGCAATTCCAATTATACATTTAATCTAATTAATATTTTCAAGTTCCAAAAAATAAATAACTTTTCTTCTTTGGCTTTTCTAAAAAGTGAGTAAACGGTTTCTAATTTACAAAACAAAACAAACCTAGCAGTGATGTTTCCTTTTCTCTGTTTTATTATTTGTTTTTTTCTAATTCCAGTTTGAAATAAATGGTTTTTGATTTTAGTAAATTTAATTATAAAAAACTATTCAAGAAAAACTCAATTAAAATTAAGTTTTTTCATCATTTCTGGAATCCATATGTTTAAGAATTCATTGTGATTGAACAGCTTATATTCAATATTGTTGTTGCAGTATTTTTTGATTGATTCCATTACTCTATATCCACATTCAAAACCATTTGGTTGAATTGGAACTTGTTTTTTTTAACATCATTTATTTTTTTGTATTTTTTATTTCCTCCCTTTTTCTTTTAAGATTTTCTAAATTCACCCATTTTTTTAAGATTTTGTTTTTTTCTCGAAAATCTTTTTGATTGGCTAAATAATTATTTTCTAAAAATACTCAAATTATGATTTGAATTTTGCTCGGGAAATGGTCCTAATCATTAGGGAGTTTTACTAAAGTCAGTGACTCACTTTAAAAGTCCCCACTCATTTTAGGCACTGTAACAAAAATATTATTGTTGAAATAAAAAATGGATTCCACTCAAACTAAAAATACTTAGAGAATGAAATAACAACAAAATATTACGACATAAACCCACCACTTACTGTTAATTTTGTTTTTTATTGTATTAACACAATAATTACATTAAAATAATTATCTTATATGGTAAAACAACGCTATAAAACATCAATTTAAGTCGAGAAAAATAGCAGTTTTGGATACATTATACAATGCGTGACAAAAGAATAATAAATTGTATAGTAATTTTAATTATAAATAAACTATAATTAATCAACTTGTGAATAATATAACTGATAGTAAATTTATTATATATTATATGATTGATTATAACAATAATTATAACAATATTAAAAATAAACCAAATAAACACAATATGAATATAAATAAATTGAGCCATGCATGAACAGCCTTGATTATGCTTATTCGTTTTTCATTTGCAACTTTCTCCTTCTCTTGTCTGTCGTTGATTTTTGGATTGATTTTCCACCAGACAAAACGATTTTTTCCGTATAAGTCCTTTCTGATGTCGACATCGCACTTCATGATTGAGTTGTAAATTGTCTCATGGATACCTGATGCTTCCATACCAAGGAATGATGGCTGTAAGAGTGCTTCTGGGCATCTGAATCTCTCGTTGCCAATGGTGATGACTTCACTGTTGGAAAATTTGTTTTATTTTTCGAGTTCTGATGATGAGGCAGATTTTTGTATTTTTTCGTCAAATCAAATGCAAGGCGGCAAAGTTATTTATAGTAATAAGCAATTATTTGTTTTTTGAATTTTTATTCCAAATATAACAAGAAATTTGTGTGTTATTTCACACAATTATTTAATGTTGATTTACGATATTTATTGGAATTTCAAATGTTTTTTCGGGATATAAGGATTAAAAAATGATAATTTTTGATTACAAATTGGTTTGCACATTGTTGTTTAAAATAGTGCAACTTTAAACAATAAATCTATTCATAACAAATCTTGAAATATCAACTCAATTATCGTGTTAATTCAAATTTACATCAAGTAATTTTTTGTTTTATCACAAACTTTTTTGTTATGTAGCAAGTGACGTTGTTTTATGTAAGATTTAATTAGTACTTTTAATTAATTTAAACCATTTTATTGTTTAGCAATCTTCAAATAAAAAAACACCAAAAACGCTCTTTGCATTTAATTTGTTAAAATAGTATTCATTGTTTAAAAATTACTATAAATGTCTTGCATTATTAAAACAATTGAACAATATCGGTAACCTTACTGTATTTATTTTTTAAATTTCGAACAAAAACGTTTATTTAAAAACACAAAACACAATACGCTACAAAATCAAATAAACAATACATTATAAAGTATCTAATATTTTTAACTATAAATGTTAATAAAATTATAAGTGACATTTGTTTGTCTATTTCTCATTGATCCATTGTCGTGGAATAACAGATAGTTGTTAATTTAAAATATTCTTTAAAATTATCTATTTTAAAACAATAATTTTTATCGTATTTTTGTTATTTGGTGTGTTTAAATAACATTATTTTACCATTATTGTCATTTAAAAAATAATTTATTATTTTATTATTATTATATTATTATTATAGACTCTTTATTATTAATAGTAAAATAATATTATAAATATTGTTTGTTATCAATTCTAACACCCAAATAATTTAAATTGTTATCTATATAACAACAAGATCAATTATATCACATGTAATCATTTTATTGATCATTCACTAAACCAGCGTGTTTCCGTTTATATAAATTTAATGCTTATTTGTTTTGTTTAATTTAAACTGTGTTTTTCATACAAAACGCGCTTTATTACAAACACTATGTATCTTCCACAATGATAACATTATAAAAAGGGGTGATTATACCATTTTTGTTATAATTATGCATAAAATACAATATAGTTTTAATTACACAACATTGTTATATCAATGTGATCACTTATCACTTCGATGACATCACATTGTAGTATGATTGTTGATGTGTTATTGTGTCAAAATTATGTTTGTTGATTGTTACTATTATATATAACAATTATAATTATAAAACTATTATAAATAACATGATAAATTATTAATAATATATTAATTTATATTATTATAAATTATAGTTTAAAGTGTCAACATTGCTATATATAGTGATGTCTTTACACTTGTGTTTTTCTTTGTTTTTCATTATCTCTATACATTTACTATAAGTTTTTTGTTTTTTTGCCCAAAAATGCATAATTCGAAAATGAATAAACAGTGGCTGCAAAATAAACAATTTTTTACCAAATACAAATCTTTATATTCTAAATAGATTGCATAAAACACGTTTTGCCTTTTGTTTTTGTTTGAAAATGATAAAATATTCAAATTACAAATAATGAATTCATATCTTGCTTCCTCGACAGTGGCACGACGTGAAATTCAATAGATGACCATAGAACCTCGTGGTGATCAAAGTTTATTTAAATGCGACTATATTGACTGTTTAAGTCATTTTTATAAATTTTTCTCGATTTTGCGATTTTTGATACTTTTGAAAATGTATTTTAGTTATTTTTTGTATATTTTAGACTTATTTTCTTTAAGATTTTTTTTCAAAGTCGGAACAAACAAAAGTGTCTTTTCGTCTTATCTTATTTCTTTTACAAAAAATAGCAAAACCCAATTTTTTAAATTTTTGTATTTTTCAAAGTTTACAAAAAATCTATTTATTTTCCCTTGTAATTGTTTTTGAGATCAATTGCATATTGAAATTTCAAGATACCTCAAAGTCTATGCTTTATTATTTTTTCTTTGTTATTTTATGATGTAATTGATTTTGGATATTCCAGACCAGTATGTTTTATGATGCAATTTGGTCTTTGTTATATTTTATAATTAATTTTATTATTGTAATAAGTTGTGGTCATCTCAATAAAATTTTGATCTGACTTTACATTGAAGTGTGACTTGTTTCTGAAAAGATCAAGCAAAAAAGTGAACCTTTGTTCATCCCAACTTCAACAAAAAATTCACTTTTTTTACTATAATTTATAACACTTTACTATAAAAATTTACTAGAGCCGTCGGGACCTACATTGACCACCACCACCTTTACCAAAAAAAATATTTGCCGCGATTGTTTTTTGAAAGAAGTCCACTTTTCAGCCACTGTTTGTGCGTCCCCATGTCACCCACTTTCCTTGTCCGTACTGTGTGGACGCGGATGTGGTTCCCCCCCCGCTTGCGGGGGGGTCAGGGGGATCCGCGCCAAGGGAGGACTTGGAAAGTGGGTGAAACGGTGCACAAACAGACTGTTTGAGTGCGGCCTTCAGAGCCTTCTTTTCAATGCTCCGTCTCACTCGGTTTTCACTGACTCGAGGTGATTTTTCGGCATTTTTTGAATTCGGGAACCAGACCTAATATTATCCCAGTTTCCTATTTACTATAATTATAATTTGAATATGATTCGAAATAGAAAAAATAAATCTATTTTAAGAGGTGGTGGTGGTCAATGTAGGTTCCTAACGCCGTCGTTCCAGGGTGTCTAGCTTTTTTTGAAAAAATTAAAGAAAAAAAGGTCACATTTACATTACAATTGACTAAGATTTTTATTTTTTACAAATTTTGATTTTTCCCGTCCTCGAAGGGTTAATGAATTATTTTCAACTGGAAAATAAACTGCAAAAAATACTTTTGCAGTTTAACTCTCCGACAACCCAATAGTTCTCTATTTAACACTTTTTGAAATTGTTGTCCCAAAATTTTTTAATAATTTTGAATATATATTGGGTAAATTTTCCTGAATATAGAGATAAAAAAACAATAACAATAAGATTAATTATATTTTCATTTTGAATAAAAATTGTCTTAAAATAAATCACCAAAAATAATAAGTTGTCATAATTTGTTTTTTTAAAAAAATTCAGACAAAAAAATAATTTCTGAACCAAAACATAAATCTATTATAAATTAAAATAAACTTTATCTAAAATAATAAATTTATAAATAATTGACTTTGAAACTAAATTTTTATCAAGAAATATTAGAATAAAAACCAGCTAAAAACAGGTAAAAAATTATTTATAATTTTATGATAAAATATAAAAACAAAATTAGAATATATACCATAAAATATCTAAAAACAACTTAATAATTATAATTTCTTTTGTTCTCTTCTCCAATTTCCGATTTTTTCTAATTGTTCAACACCTTTGATACCCATACATTTATCACAAACACATTGGAAGTGGAATGAACATACATGATTATAACATAATGCACATCTTCTTGTAAACGATGAATTGCTGATTCTTTTATCTTTGAGTTCCAAACAAATTTTGCATTTCGATTTACCTTGGTCTGTTTCTCTTCTTATAGTTTGTTCTACCTTTTTTTCTTCAACTTTAGACGTTTTTTCTTTTGTTTCATTGATATATTCAAGTATAGAAATTTTTGTTAATTCATTTCTAGTCTTTCTCAGTCTTGAATGTGCATTGTTAATACCCAGTTTTTTAGAAAGGTTAATACAATAATTTTATTTTGGATATTGTCTTTTTGTCATTTTGAACTGTTCATTATTTCCATTTTCACATTTGTTTAACACGTAAAGAATATAACTGTTGTGATATGCCATGTCTATAATATGGTAAAAAAACGCAAGTGGCCACCTTCTTGATGGTCTCTTACACGTGTGTTCTCGCATACTTTGGTCCGCTTGATCTACACCACACATAAATTTATTGTATCGATTCACTGTTGAAAATTTACCTTCTGATAATTCTCCCACCTCATTTTTAACAATGAATGATTCTTTTTGTTGTGTTCGTGAAGTCAAAATCATAATATTTTTGTCTTGTTCGATAAATGATACAATTCGTATTTGTTTTGTTTCTAATAATGGAGTATTGATGGTTTTCTCTAAAACAATTTTCTTTAATAACATTTTCTCGGTCTTTTTCTTTTTGGCAGAAAAACAAATTAATTTGGCTTTTTGTGGAACGAACAGTCTTTTTGTGTTAATTGTGCCAACTAAATAAATTTCATTTTCTAACAATTTGACACACAATTTTTCACTTGTAAAAAACGATCTACTGTTATTGTTGATTCGAGTGGATATTTCATTTGTAAGTGTTTAACCAATTCGATAACTACAAGACCACCAACATCTTGAATGGGTTTTCCATTGTCAGAACCACGATAGAAAAACGTATTTAGTATAACATTAGTTGTTGAATCCGCGAGTATGAAAAACTTCATTCCATATTTACCTGGTTTTGTTGGAATGAACGTTTTGTTGCACCACTTCCCATAATAATTAAACAAATTCTCATCTATAGATAATTCCGAACTACACCTATAAATATTTGGGTACAAATTTAATAAATTACTATTGAATAAATTGTATATTTTCTCTATAAAAGAAAAATTATCTAAATCGTTTTTGTTTGTAGGATAAATCACATTTGACGTATTTGCAATGTCATATTTGTCTGGTTCACTTCGAATAGGTGTAACATTTTTGAAAACGTTGGGTCGAAGTTGAATTTGTTCTGGACGTTTTGGTGACAATCCCGGTAATCTCAAACGAAGCAAACTTGTTTTACTAACTGGTATTTGTTGTGTTGATGGTTGTGTTATAAAATTTGGTTGTAATGACTGATTAACAAATTGTTGTGTCTGTATGATAGAACTGCTCAATTCAAGTTCATGTACGGTGTCAATGTGGTCTTGTAAAACTTCGATACTATCTTTATTCAATATATCATCTGTGGAATCGTATTCATCGTTACAATCTTCTTCATCAGAAAAACTTTCAAAGAAATCTTTTGCAATTTCTCTATAAGCAGCGGTATCATCAAAACGAAGATATTTTTTTATTGTTTTGTATCTTTTTAACGATATTGGTGCTTTGTACAAATAGTTGGATTTTTCACTTGACCACAATGCTTCAAGTGATATTTTGTTTTCTTTGAATTGGCCTTGTAGAATAGTAACTGCTAAAAATGCATCCAATTCATCTATTGTTATATTTTTCCAGTTGTTTGGTGATTCATTAAATTCATCTGTTGATAGTTTATATTCACTCATCAATGAACCAAACAAATTAGTGTTATCAATAATTACTGTTTTCATGTTGTTGTCGATTAATGAATTAAAATAAAAGAGCTCGTCACTTTCTTCGTTAATATGTAAAAGGGCTTTTCTTTTTATCAAAATTGGTTCATTAGTTGTTGTGTCAAATTCAGCTTCTTTCCACTCTGAATCTTCATATGCATTTGTGTTGAAACTTTCAGTTGGCAACATACACCGTGGTTTGTTTTTTTCAGTTTTGAATAACAAAAATATAAAGAATTGTTTTTTTGAACAAAACAATATTATTAATTTGTTATAATAAAGGTGGTGGATAAAAATTGTTTTAAAAAAAACAAAAAAAACTAAAATTAATATAAAAACAAAAATAATAACACTTTTCATTAAAAAAGTTTGTACAATTAGACAATTTTGCCGATTCTAAAAAAGTTTAATTGTTTTTTTATTTTTTTGATTTTTTTGTTAGTTAGTTCAGATTATGAACTTAAATTTTCATTTTCAAATTTTAATAAAATTATAGTACATATATAACATATTTTTTTCAACAGTGCATTTTTATGCACTATTGGTCTTTCCGGCCATTGGTATGTATGAGAGTTAATGTAAATAAAATTTGTAATTAAATAATCAATAAAACTTATTCATTTACTATATGTTTTCAATACAAAAGTTTAAATTTTGGTGTTACTAGAGTGTTTGAAAACATACAGATAAATCCCAATTATTATAAACATTTTAATGGTTATATTAACCACAAAATGTTAATTTATAAATATGTTGTTTCTTTGAATAGTGTGGTGATACAATAAATATACATTTTATTTGTGAATTGAACAATAAATTAAATGATGTATTGCATTAATTATTTAAAAAAATTACTATAACTTAGTAAATTGTACTAAAAAACTAAAATTAGTAAAAAAACTATTCTAACAACAAATCAATTTCAAATTAATTAATACAATTAAAATTAAAAAAAATTATATTTAATTATTATTGGAAAATTAAAAATTATACTAAATTTTATTATTTGTTATAACTTAAAATATAGTTACAATTGCTAATAAAAATATTATTAATAATATATTTACAATCAACTATTTTCAAACTATAAATAATAATAACAAAGCAAAACGATAAGAGTAAAGTGGTGCAAAAAGAAAGAAACTTAAAAAGAAGAATATGAAACGGTTGTTTGGGGGATTGTTTTCGACGGGGAAGAGCACGTGGTTTAAGAAAGAACTTTCGGAAGAAGAGATGGAGGATGACATGTTTTGGGAATTACTTGACCTGTTAGCTGACCTCGACAAAACAAAAGAACTTCCTGAGGTCCAAAAAAACATTTATGAGCTCGAGTTGACGTTTTCAAGACAACCCGTTGGGCTCAAACGAGAGATGATTGAAGTCGACGAACTCAACAACCGAGTCAAAGTAGCCGAAAGCAAACTCGAAACTTTGGAGAAATCTAATCATAAAATGCAGCATGACAGAATCGTCAGAGTGTCGAAGCTCTTCCCAACATCAATGGAAAAATAAAGATTGTGAATGTATTTGGCTAAATTATTAAATTTAATTAAATTTGTTTACTTTCTGTCAACTCACCTTCGTCTGTTCACGTTTTTTCAACGTACATCAATAAATTCAATTTCTTTGGTTAATTAAAATAAAAAGTGATAAAATCCCTCAATGTGTTAACTCGTCATTTGGGTTGAAAAAGTGTTGCAAGTATTAAAAATGAAATAAACTCGCTTTGAAAATTATTTAGTTCAACGGGTTTGATAACTGTTGGAGTTCTCGGACAATATCAACATCTTCGGTGTTGTTGTCAAGAAGCGCTTGGAGACTCTCATCGAACGTTTGGACTTCTTCATACTGCGGATTGATTCTTCCAATTTTAAGTATCGGAATTAAAACAGTGCACATCTTATTCATCACAACCTCGACAACGTTGTTTGTTGCCCTGCACAAAGCGGGAAATACGTCGGAAAGTAATACATTCAGATCGTTTATGTATAGACATCCTTCGGTGTCTGGTCTTCCAAAGAGAACGCCAAGCAAGTCAAGGCACATGGAATACAATGACTCCTTGAAGTCCGTGAAAATAAGCTCCAAAATAAGCCCCTGGACGAATCTACCTGACTGGAATGAATCGCTTTTGACAATCACATCAACCAAATCTGGGTACAACACAAAGGTCTTGTGGAGCAATAAAAATGACTCGTTTAGTGCTTTTGTTGGGTGTTGATCTTCGTCAAGAGTCATAGTGATTGTTGAGCAAATTCCGTCTATAATTTTTTCGCTTGGCTTTTTGTCTTTGAAGCAGCACTTGAGTAACATAAGTGTCCAATCTGTGAACGGTCTCTCAAAATGCTCTTCAAAAAATGGGAATAAATTTCTGAGTTTTCCTTTGACAAAGGATTTATAGAATTCGTCGTCCGTTGACGTGAACAACGCAAACCCCTTGTAAGAAAGTACTTTTTCTTCGTCACTTGTCTCTTCGGACATAAACATGTTATAGTATTCCTTTGGCATGGCGTAGTTTTCCTTCTTGTGTGTTTCCACCATGTCTATAGCCTTCTCGAGTTGTTCAATCATCTCGGCGAACTCGTTGCATCCTCTTTCGTCTTCATTGTCCGACATCTTTATTGTTTTGAATTCGATTTTTTTAAGCTCTTATGATCTTTCTTTCCACCATCTCTCAAATCTCGAAATGTCAATCTCATAATTGAAAATGGATATGAGAAAAAGAATGAGACATGAAAAAGACTTTGATCAAAAGGAAAAATTTGTACTTCCCCAAAAGATGTCCGATGAAGAATTCGATTCTTGTTTGTTTTTTTTCAATTAAACATCATGTTGTCATTAATCACAATCTCACAATCAGTCTACCCAATCGACCCATCAAATAAAAGATCAACCAAATTCACACTCCCAACAAAAAAGACTGAAAAAAATAAAGAAATCAAGGAAACCAAAAGTAATGAGGACAATTTTTGATTTTTAGTGTGTTATTGCTATAATCTTATATATTTTCATTTAGACATTCCAATAAAATTGAATAAGACATTTTGAATTTTTCAAAATGTCTTTTGTTTTCACGAAAATAAAAAAAGTCATCTCAAAAATAGAACTCAAAATTCAAAAAAGAGAAAGAGATAAAAGTAATCTCCCACAAAAACGAAAAACGCGACAAAATGACAAGCTCGAAGTACGACAAAACGAACTCGGAACTTGAAATTACACACTGATTTCAAAAACAATTCCTGACACTCATTTTGACATGACAACACACAACAATCTGACACGTCATCTCATGTCATCGCAAACAATCTGATCTTGATAAAACACACAAAAATCAACAGAATATAAGTCAACAACTCATACACAACAAAAATCAATTCACATTCATTCTTTGTTTTTTTCATGACACGTCAAATAATCGTTTTTCGGAATTCGGCTTTCAACATAAAACCATTCGTATAGTTCAGTTATAGTTCAAGTGAATGACCTACACGAACTTATAATTCGAAAACTCATTCTTCACAAAACGAATGACTACACTTTACGTCTCTGATGTGGACGGATCTATCACAGAGGAAAAACTTAAAAACCTTTTTGACCCTTTTGGGGTTGTTCTCAAGTGTTTGTTTCAATCACTTTTTCGTCACTAAACATTTTCTAAATTTTCGTGAACTCTTCCATTAAAAATAATTAATCAAAAACCATTTGGAAAATACAAAACCAACTCGATTTGTATAACAAAACATATAACAATATTTGCAAAAATCATGTTGTTAAAGTTTATGTGATTGAAAATGGCGGAAAGAAAACATGGATAGGGAGTGACGGCACAGCAACAATCAAAAAGTCGTGCAAAGGACCAAACGATTTCTTTTACGCTTTTGTCGAATATGGCAAAGAGGAAGAAGCTTCGAAGGCGCTCAAAGCTATGGACCAGTACGAAATAGCAGGTAAACGCCTCAACGTCAAGTTCGCGAAATTGAAGGAAGGCAAGAGCTTCAGTCGACACTCACCACCACCTTTGCGCGATTATGACCGCGACGACAGAGATTTTGAAAGAGGAAGAAGAGAAGACAGAGATTCATATCGTCCTCTATCACCAAGAAACAGAAGCCGATCAACAGAAAGACCAATGAGAAGAGAACAACGGGACGAGAGAGACGACTATTTCAGAGATAGACCACTCGACCGATCCAGAGATGATCGTGACTTTTATAGAGATAGTCGTGATAGCAATCGAAACTATCCAGATAGATTTTCTGATCAAAGAAGTGGGACAATGTTAAGAGCCCCAGATAGGGTTGAGAGACGGTATGACGATTTTCCAGTGAGAGGGTACAGAGATAGGTTTGACGACAGAAATGAACGAAACGAAAGGAGCGAAAAGCGAGACGAAAACTCGTTCAGGCGAGTTGACAGATTCGAAAAGTTTGATAGAGCAGCCAGGTACTCGACCAATACACAGGACGAACCAATCTATCCGCGACAAGACAGATTTGAAAGGAAAAACTTACTGCGGGACGAATCAAGAACGTACGAAGATCGTATACCAGTGGATCGATTTGGTGGCGAACGGAGAGACCGGATGAGCAACTTTTCAGAGAGAGTTCCAGTTGATAGGTTTGGACGAGACCGGGAAAGGACCCCGTACGATCGACAAAGCACTGATGGACCAACTACCGACAGAGGCAGCGACAGAATGGACGTTGATAGAATGAGGGTCCCTGACGGTTTGAGAAGGGAAGAGAGGGAACAACCACCAAGAGAACCGTACATTAGAGACAGATTCGATAGCAGGGGTTATTGAGTCTCAATTCGATATTCATGTCCATACATACTGTATTATTAATTATAATACACATAACAATCATAATTATAATATAATAAATCAATACCATCGAATACGTATTAAAAAAATATGAATTATAAAATAAGTAATTGTTAAACCCCACATGAACACAAAGAAGAGTGAGGAAGTTCTTTTATCTTTCGAACCCGTTGTTCCGGACCATCCAAAGGTGTTAATACTTGGATCAATGCCTGGAGAAGAGTCTTTGAGGAAACAGCAATACTATGGTCATCCACAAAATGCGTTTTGGTTTGCGATTTCGAGTCTTGCCGGGCTTGAAATTCCCCCTAAGAGATACAATGACAAAATCCAGCTGTTGCACAAAAATCACATAGCCCTTTGGGATGTTTGTCACGAGTGTATCAGAAAAGGGAGTCTTGATGGAGACATCAAGAAACCACTTCCAAATGAAGTTAACAAACTTTTAAAGGAGCATCCATCCATCACAATTGTGTTGTTTAACGGGCAAACTCCAGAAAAGCTATATAAAAAGTTTTTCAAATATATTGATGGAATCACATACAAACAGATGCCATCAACAAGTCCAGCTTTTGCTTCTTTAAAACGTGATCTGAAAATCAACATGTGGAGTCAAGAGATGTTTGTCTGTTTCTTATGTATAATTATTTTTGGTAAATTTTTATTAAAATTATAGTTTATCACCAAAACTATATTATTGTTATATTCAAATTATAAATTACTACAAAAAATAACACATAGAAAAAATGCAATAGCAAAAGTAAATTGAATTTTTGATGATTTTCTGGTTGATTCAAACTATGAACTCAAAAAAGTGAGATGGTCGCGCAATTTTTAGTAATTGTCATATTCGCGGTTTTGGTTTTGACAAGTAAAGCGCAAAGTAATAACACCACAACTTTTACTAAAGAGGAATTGGAGAGATTTAAAACACTCGTTTCGGACAAACTTGAAAAGGAACTGCAAAATGGACCAAGTGAATTTATTCGGAAACACCACCTTGCACATTTAAGACTTCACTTAGATTTTTACAAGAAGGAGCTTATGAAGGTTGTGAATACAAAGGATCCGAGTCAACAATATCGACTACCGAAGATACGACATCACATCAGAAAAATCGAGATTGCTTTAATTAACGAGCAAAAAAGAATTAACAAAAAAACACAAAAGTATGAAAATTTGATGAAAAAACGAATTGACAAAACAAAAAAGTTATTTATTGAGGAGGCAATTTCTCTCAAAAAAGGGGAAAAGGGCGCAACGGAAATACGAAAAACTAAAGAGGCGTTCCAAGACGCTATTCAAAAAATCAATCTTGATTTACTCAAACAAAAACATCCGTACAACAAAACGTCAAAGAACAGCGAGATCTCGCAAAACCTCAGTAAAATCAAGTTGAAGACAAAACTTTTGATGAACAAAACTATAAAAAAATTGGCCGAAAAAAATGGGATGAGTGATTTGGCGGAACATGCGAGGAATAAAACCAAATATTTGAAGAAAGAATATGCCGACTTTAAGAACAATTATCGGCAATCGCTGATTGGGAAAGTTGGAAGACTCAGATTGAAACTTCTTATAGCGAAGCAAGATATGAAAGTTATCAGGCGGGTGTTGTCGAATGTTGGGGAGTTGCCGAGAAAACGGGAGCATGCATTGCAACAAGAAAAAAAGAAGAATTTTGAGATTTTAGTTTTGACAAAAGGAGTGAGAAGGGCGGAACGAGAGTTGAGAGATGCGATACGGAAGGAAACAAGAAAAGCAAAAGAAAAAGTGATGGAAGTTGGCGAGGAACTTGTTGCCCTTTCTGAGCGTTCTGCCAACAGGAAAAATCAAGTACTCAACGGGTTGTTAAAAAAAGAGAGTTGTGCGTATTTGGGCGATCCAAAATGCACAATTTGGACAAAACTCAACAACAAAATGATAACTCGAGATTGGAGAGAGGCAGAACGAGATGATTCAAAGGAGGCTCAAAAACGGTTTGCAAACATCGTCAAGGCCATCACAAACGACCTTGGAGATGAATTCAACATCCAAAGTAAGCGACTTAAATTCATCAGTGACGCCGAACGGATACACAAAGACGTGACTGAAGAAAAGGAAAGCGCAACAAAAGACTTTGGACTTGTGAAGTATGGAATTGAAGAGATTAGAAGATACATACAAGAGACTTTAGTCAGAGCAAGGACTATATGGGCTGTACGCCTTGCACAGGGAATGTTGCAGAGAAGAGCCGCAATGAAACGGATTGAAGCTGAAATGGCGAAGCTTGGAAAGCCCGGAGAGAGAAACCAAGTTGAATTCCATTGGATGGCGGAGGAGCAAATGGGAAAAGGAATTAACGACATCAAACAACTCAATGTCGAGCTTGTGTTGTATGCGCTCAAGGAGCTCGACGCTGCGTTGAAAAATGTGAAAACAGAGAAGGTAGATTTGCAAGAAGAAGCGACTAAAGCCATTGAAGACTTAAAGAAACTTGTCAAGCGCGGAGTGGTACGGGCGCGAGATGTCGAGGGTGTCAACGCGTATTTCGAGAGGAACGAGAAGGGCCATGGGAAGAAGTGCGAGAGGTGTTTTGAACTTGCAAAGACGGTGAGGATTGGTACCTTTAATGGGTGGAAGAGTTCCATAATTTACAAGGAGCTTATGAGGAAGTGTAAACTTTATGAAGAAGTTGGAGGGACAGGAACATGCGAAGAGACCGCAATGGGGTTAATGAATATGTACAGCCAAAAAGCGTTCCAGTTGCTACGCAGCAGCGCGTTCAAGATGTGTGAAAAATTGAAGTATTGTTAAGTGTTGGTTTTAGGGTTTTGCAAAAATCAAAAATTCAAAGAGAAACTCAAAAAGAAAGAAGAATGGTCAGGAAGTTGAAGTATCATGAGGAGAAGTTGATGAAAAAGACCGACTTTATCAACTGGAAGTTGGATAATGGACCCTTGAAAGCCGCAATTATGAGAAAATATTTCATTCACAGTGAAAAGGAGTATGGAAGTTATCTACAAGTTTCCTATGCTATTGTAGCTCTTGCGAAATCGATTGCAAAGCTGCCCAAAACGGACGAATTCAGAATGGTTTTGACTCGAAGACTTTGTGACGCATTGTTTGTTCTTGTTGTGTGTTTGAATTGTTGCTCATTGTTAGATTTGACTTGGGTGTTATCGACTTGAAGGAACAAGGTCTTTCCGCATTGGACAAGTTAACAGCGTCAAGTTTTGCTGAGCGCCGTCTTGCCGTGATTATGCAGCGCCGTAAAATGGTAGACACTATTCAAATGGGAGACACGATGATCACCCACGGCCACGTCAAAGTAGGTCCGGACATCATCCGAAACCCCGCGTTTTTGATATCTCGAACAAAAGAGGATTATGTCAGTTGGGATGATCAGTCGAAGATGAGAAAGAAGATCAACGAATTCAATGACGCCGTTGATGACTATGATATTGAAGACGCTTAACAAATTGATTGTTTAAAAGTCGATTTATCCGTTTCAACCTTCCGTTCTCATTACCAAAGTCACATGGCGTTTTGTTGAAAGTGCAATAAAGAAGAAACATTTGTTTAAAAGTGATATTTTCGTAGTTCATCCACTTATTCACTTCGTCGGTGTATTTGATAGCGGTGGGGATATCTACAATAAAGTTATACACACATATGAGCATCCCTTTGTTTGTGTTGAGCGCCGTGACTGTCTCCAATTCTGTCGAGAACACACAGCTCTTCGTTGTGGGTTTGTTTTTCTCGTCGACGTCTTTGCACTCGAAGTAGATCTTCTGGCACATTTTCAATAATCGTTTCTTATCTTTTCGCGTCTGATATAACCCACTCAAAGGGGAAGAGTACACCGAACTTTCCGATATAAACGTGTAGAACATCAGATAGTGTGTTGTATATAAATCGGGGACGGGTGGATTATTAATAAAAGCGATGATGCTGTTGTAGTATTTGTCCAATTCGTGATTCAAATTCTCAGTGATGATTTTGACTTCTAAAAAATAGTCCAATTTCTGGTAGATAACTACTAACTTTAAAATCCCACATTCAACCGTCCACACCTTCAACTTCCCCGACTTACTTAATAAAGGCATCCCAACTTCTCCATCACCAGGATGATGCGATGTGTATGTGATGACTCCATTCATATCACTCGGAGTTAAACAAAACCCTTTCCGGCCATTACAACATATGACTTGGTTCCCGTCATGGAGTAACACCATTATAATATCACTGTTTATCCCACCATTCCCCTCCCCTATTACACTATTAATTACTTCACTAACTTCGTTGCGAATCCCACAATACGCAACACTCAAACTACCTACTAACCCTCCCATCCACGTCCCATATTTATATATCGCCATTTTGAGATGAACGGAATTCTCATAGATCAGTTGCCGACAGTCGTACGCCGGGTTAACAGCTAAACTCTCCAAAAACGATTGTAATGGGACGTACACATAAATCGTCTTTTCAAAGTATTCGTGGAACTGTTGAAGTGTCGCAAACGTCTCATCTTTCGGACCAACTGTTATAAATACAAAGGGCCCTCGCCCGTCGATAAAGATCTTCCGAGTGTCCCCTTCAATTTCAAGCTCATTCCCGCCTTCCATCGTCAACGACACCAGCGCAGAAAACGCACCCAAAAGTGTCGAGAGGAGCATCACATCGCCGTACCGACTAAACACAGGCTTGCCGGTGTCCGTCACAACAAAAAAATGTCTGTGATGGGAATAAAATGAATCGGATATGACACTCTCTGTGTCTTGTTGTGAAAAACGAAGAAAGAGTTCGCGCAAGTCCCCCATTGAGTCGGACGGTCTTATTTTTCAGATTTCACATGAAAAGACTATATTTGTTTTGTTTTTTAGAGCTTTAAATGCTATTTCTTTCCACCTTTTTAATATGATTCATAATTTAATATTTTTTACAATTAATTTATTAACGAAATTCAAATTCTTTTTTTATATTGTTATTTAGTAAAAGATAGAAATAAAAGCAACACAATTTGGATATAATGTTTCCTTTATTACATCGACTTTCTTATAACATTAATAATATTCAAATGTAAATAAAAATAATAATTTGTCATTCTTTATTTTTAATTGAATTGAAATTATACCTAGGGACCGATCGCTAAAATCACATATTTTTTAGTCATCAAAAATAAGAAAATTTTTTTGCCATTATTTTTTTTATTTCCAAGGTTTTGTTTCAAAAAGATAATTTTTTCTTAATTAGTGAACGTGGAGACATTATTTTAAGTTCAGCCTATTTTAATTTATTTAATTTAAAAGTGTTGTTTTTAAGTTCTTTTTAACATAAAAAAACAAAAAATCGAATTAAATTTTTAGTCTCAAAAAAATAAAAAATCAAAATTTAGTAAAAAAAAGAAGATTATTGTCATCGTAAAAAAATTTCAAATCAAAAATGGCCAAACTTTTTTAATGGTTAAATGAGTTTAGTGGCAGTAATAAAATTCATTTTAATAATTATAAAAAATATAAAAATAATTATAAACATTATTTATAAAAAACAACAAACGATATTATTTATTTAATAAGTTATTTGTTATATTATATAATATAAAAAATAAATAATTATAATTTAAAAATGAAAATGTTATTATTTTTATTAAAAACAAATACATTCACAAAATAAAATACTTATTAACTTGATATTTAAAATAAATATATATATATTAAAATATACTATTATCTAAACAAATAAAACATTTGTTTTTATAATTTATTTAAAAAATAAATACTAAAATATGAAACTATTTAATATTTTTTTTGTGTTTGGATCTACAATTAATAATGATTCGTTCATTTATTTGGAATTACATGAAAATTGTATATTTGCCATGCCAAGAACATGCCGAGTGTCTTCCCGGTGAATACCGATCAAAGGGAGAACCCACATGTGTAGGTTGTTCCTTTTTTATAAAATGTTTTCTCTGTAACAAAATGTTAAATTATAACATGGTCACACAGTCTACTTCATCAGCAAAAAATCATTTAATTAATTTACATTACGACAAATTAAAAGATGAAGAAAAAAGGAGAAAACTGTTTCCAAAAATGTCACAAAGAAATAAAGAGGTTAACATAATGTTGATGAGATTTTTTTCATCTGTTGGAATTCCTTTTAGTCAAATTTGAAATCCATTTTTAGTTGAGTTACTGAATTTTCTCGATAAGTCAGTTGTATTGTCAGACGAAAAAACATTTAGAACAACTTGTCTTTTTGAATTGTACGATAGAGAACTAGGAGATCTCAAAAAAAGAATTAAAGAAGATGTCGTTTTCAACAATCTATCAGGATCCATTTCAACAGATATCATGAGTAAATATAATAATTCTTATATAACAACAACTCTCCACTATATCGATAAACAATTTGAGTCACACAACGAAGTTTTGAATGTGAGTCCTTTTAATGTAGAACATACAGGAAAGGAAATTAAAACATATGTGAGTCAAATTGTTACCGATTTAAATTTGAATGTTAACAACATACATTTTGTTGCTGATTCGGCATCAAATAACAATAAATTGTCTGAAATTAATGGAAACAAAACTGACTGTGTTGTACACACATCGAATAATTTGTTTTCTGCTGTGATAAAACAAATACCCGGGATGAAAGCCTTCATGAAAAATATAAATTCTTTGGCCAAAACACTCCAATTTTCTCAAAAAACACAAAGAATATTTGAAGAGTTGTGTTCAAAAAAATGTGAAGAGCCTGGATGTCTTGCGACTTATACGAAAACGCGGTTTAATTCATGTTACCTTTCTTTTAGCAAATTGTTAAAAAGAGAGAAGAGTGTTAAAGAACTGAACAATGGGATTCAATTCAATGAAGAGGGGTGGAAAGGGGTCAAAGAAATGTATTCACTCACAAAAGCAATGGACGATCTTTACAACAAATTGGCGGCGAACCAAAAAATTACATCGTGTTATGTTGTGGGAGCTATTAGAGACATTTGGAACACAATTTCCTCTTCTATTTACCAACTGAAGGTTTTCTAAAAAATATATTAAAACATAGTGAAATAGATGAAGATTATGCAGAAGAATCGGGAAGTGGTTTTATGGAAATTGAAGCTGGGACTATTTTTGGAAAGGACTGGAAAATGATAGCTCGATCTGAATTCGAAAAAAGACTGCGCGCCATTTCTCAAAAAGAAGAATATATTTTAGCAGCTTTCTTTTTTTCCTATTACTCGTGATGGTGATTTGTTTGAAACACAAATCAATGCCTGTGTTCAAAGAGTGAAGGCTGAATTGAGTGGCATAAGTAATATAACACCACAAAGTAGTTCCGCTTTTTTAAATTCGAGTTCAAATTTTCATATTGAATTTGCCAATTGGGCAATTCCAATGATGACAACTGATGCAGTACAAAGACGAGAGGAATCACCAATTGATAAAGCAATTAGATTGTATTTAGAAGATCGTGGTGCGATAGAAAACGGAGAAAACTGTAAAAGTCCCGAAGAATATTGGCAAAACTGTATTAAACTAAACAAACACGCCGATTTATTTGATATTGCCAGGAAGTATCTCTCTTTTCAACCAACAAGCATAGACTCAGAAAGAGTTTTTCGAAATGTCGGTAAAATAGTCTATAATGAAACTTCGTCGTTTACCCCAGAAAACGCCTCGAAAGTGTCTTTTTTGAGACTACAGATAAACAAACAACACCAAAAATAAACAAATTAAATGGTTTGGAGTCAAGTATGGTTAATTATTCTTCATAGATCTCAATGGTTGTGACCTTAGTGAGATAAAACATTGGATGATCTCTTTGATGAGCACCAACTCAACACTATACACGAGAAACTCCAACATCAAAGACGCTGTTCGAACAGACTTGACTGTGTTATATTTTTTTGTAGCACTTCCATAAACTGCGAATCCAATCGAATGGCATTTAAGACCGAAGGAAATTGCATTGACTTTCCAGTCGATGAATTCAAAGTGTAACAGAGTGTCAGTATGAAGTGTTCCAATCTGTTTTATGGGTGTTATTCATATGACCACATGCCGAATTCAACAATTGATATTGATGTTTTGGAGTTTTCTGGCTGCCAGAGTGGCATGGAGTTTGAGTCTCGAAAAACAAAGAAATGAATGACAACAACAAATGTGATAGATAACGAGGGATACAGAATCGAGTGTACTACAAGTTGTTCGACTTGTACAGCAAGAACAATAATCAACACACAAAATCATTTGAGTATAGGGCTCGTTTAGATTCAACATTGTCATATGAGAACCACAAATACTGTCAGAAGTACCAAATTGGTTTGGATGTATTGAATGTTTCAATTCAATCAACTTAAATGGTGTTTGTTCAATAGTTGAAACGAACACAAAAATGTTCTTTTTATTTAGATAGTTACAACACAATTAAATGTGAAAAATACATTAAACGTTTACAAACAAAAACATATACAACTTTATGGAGTGATGATGTTGGACGTGAGGCATTATTAAAAGGACTGTGTATAAAATGTTATTAAATACTTTTTGAACAAAGTATATCCACCAAAATGCGAGTTGTGTGGAGATAATTGTCTGACTTGCACAACACCAACTACATGTTATATATTCTCAAATAGTTTTTCTCTTGTTAATGGAAGTTGTGTTTCACTATCAAATTGTTTGGTTTCAACGCCAAGTTGATGTACTATGTGTAATGAAGGGTATTATCTAATTCTCGGCTCATGCAAAATGTTAAGTGAAATCCACTACAAATCTGTTGTTATGATAACAAATATTTGAGGTGCAATGTATGTTATGTAAAGACAACTATATTTTAAGTGACACACAATGTGTTGACATGTCTACTGCGCGTTGCCAAAGTGTCGACTTATCAACTTCAAAATGTGCAATTTGTGAAGAATAGTTCAAATTTGATGACAAAAAATGTGTTTCAATGGAAACGACGCCATGCTCGTATACATCATCAGGCAATTGCCTTCGTTATGATTTACAAATCTCACTTAGAACTTCCAATGAGGGTGTATTGGTTTGCAATACAGAAGTGAAGACTGTGTACTGCAAAGAAAACAGCAATACGGGGTGAACCAAGTGTTATGACGTGTATTATCTAAGTAGTACTGAATGTCTTCCATGTGATAAGAAGTGCTCAAGTTGTGTTGGCAACGTTTCAACATGTGCAAAGTGTAACGTGAAAGGTGGGTATTACCAATATGTCGAATTTACAACAATAAAAGACAAGAAGTGTGTCATCAATACAACACTTGACAATTGTGAATGGGTTTCAGAATATGGGTGTGCTGTGTGTCTCGATGGGTATTATCAAAACAAATATTTAAAATGCCCAAAGTGTGTTAAATTGCGTGCGACTTGTTCAGACAATAACACGTGCTCTTTATGTATTAATCAATATGTTTTGATATCAAAATAGTTGCAATGTGTGAAATGGAATTCAATTGCAATAGTAAATCGTATGATCCAAAAACACAACAATGCAGTGAGTACAGTGTAAGCAACAAAGTTGGACCAAATGGAGACGAGTGTGTTCACAAGACAAATGTACTCTCAATTATACTTCCAATCATTTTTTTGTATTTTTATAGTTGTTATTATTATAAAAATAAGTTGTATACTTTTTTGTATTCATTACAGAAAAGAAGAGAAGTTAAGGAAGTCACTTGTAAACGAATTTTTGTTGAAAGATTTAAAAAAGAAAGAAGTTTATATCATATATATTGGCACTCAAAAAACGCATTTTGAAGGCGAAATTGCAGTTCAGAAAGACGGCGAATGCA